TCCTAGCAGCTAAGCCTTCAGTAGGTTGACCTGGAGGGGTGGGCCCAGCAGAGGCTGCCCAGGTCTGTGTCTCCCTAGTACACTGCAGTGGGTGGGAACACCTAGCTGGTACAATTCAAACAAACTGTAACTGGCAAAGAAAGAAACTGGGCCTCCTATATACGCTTGTATGGAAGGAACAAAAAATATGGAAAGAGAGAGCGACAAGAAAGGGTCCTCGGCTCCCAATCCTGAGAAACATGCAATATCAGACACAGCACCAATAGATATAAAGCAATATCTCCAGAGCCTCATAGATCAGTTCAAAAATGAAGTTATTAACGACCTAAAGCAAGATATAAGTAGAATAGTTAGAGAAATGCTAAGCACCACCCAAGAAAAAAACAGATGGTGGAATGGAAGAACAGAAAAAAAAAAGGGGAGAATTGTTTGATGGAGAAAATAGAGAAAACATAGAACACATGAAGCAGAGTCAAAGAGATTACCAGGAAACTAAAAACTCTATCGAAAACTGGCATAACAGCTTGAAAGAAACTAAGGATAGATTATCTGAACTGGAGGGCAGATTTGTAATGTGGGAGCATGAAATAAAAAACTTCTTAATAATAACAAGAAAACAAACAGCAATAATTCAAAGGCTAGAAGATGATAGGATCTATAACTTAAGAATTAACATAAAAGAAGAAGTAGGGACACAAACAAATGGACTACAAAAGCTATTCACAGAAATAATCCAAGAGAATCTCCCTAATTTAGCAGAAGGTAAAGATACTCAGATATATGAGGCATACAGGACCCCAGCCACCTACAACCCAAACAGATACACACCCAGGCATATAATGATCAAAATTCCAGAAATCCAATATAAGAACAGAATATTAAAAGCCGTCAGAGACAAGAAACAGATCACTTACAAGGGAACACCCATCAGAATTACAGCAGACTTCTCGGCACAAACCATCAAATCACGAAGAGCGTGGGGAGAAATAATTCAAGCTTTGAAAGATAATAACCTCCAGCCAAGATTGATATATCCTGCACAGCTGTCCCTGGAAATTGATTGAAAAACAAAGTGCTTCCAGGATAAAGAAGAACTAGGGGAATTTGCAACCACCAATTCAACTCTACAGAGAATACTGCAGGATATTCTAAAAAAGGAAAATACCAAGATTCCAGAAATAGTGTCAGAGAGGCCACAATGAATGGAGCAGAAAGAGAAATAAAGAAGACAAACTGATAACAAACAACAGAAAAAGAGCTCAACAGAAATGAGGCAGAGAAGATTGGATGGTAGGAACAGCTATTTTGGAGAAAACAAGACATCATAATAGCTAGTGCTGATTTAGTATCATCATGTTTTGAAGTCCCATCAAGCTTTTATTTTTCTGTCTCCATTGGTCTTACCAGGTTGTATCTTATTGGATTTTATTATATGTGATAATATAAGCAAAAACTTTTATAGACATGGAGATTATACAGAAACCATTGTTCATTTTCTGTTAGTTGGCTCTAAATACCGTGTAATAATGTCATTCTCTTGAATGGTTTTACATTGTCTAGATATGTTTGGTGCTACAGTATACGAAGTTATACTCAAAGATTTCAAGTAAAGAGACACTATGGTAACTACTTTTATGTCAGGATAGCTTGTGGTGAAACACTATTTTGCTTAAATGGTTATGTTTTGACCTGCGCTGTTTTGTTGTTATGCCCTCTTTTATCTCAATCTCCTTTTTTTAAATATGTACTTTTTTATTTTTATCTTTTTAATTAAGGGGAAAATAAATAAAAAATAGTAGAATACATTATAGTAACCTACTTTGATTTCCTATTAACTTGATTTGAAACCCTGTATTGCCCACACCATCTTGTTTTGACTGATTTTCCCCTCTTCTGCTTAGCTTGATAGTACCAAGTTCGAAATTATAGGCAACAATGTGAAGACAATAAGATTCATTATGACACCCATTTCTGATTGACTATTATCTTCTTTTAAAGTTCTGTAAGGTCTCCAATATTTTGGTTTTATTCTTTACTGTTTTGTTCAATTTTACTGTAACTGATGACATAGGCAATTCTTCTTAAGATAGCAAGAGGCAGTATGGTAACCATTGTTGATCACCTTGTATTTTGTTTTTACATTATGTATTATGTCCATCCTTTTGACTTGACTGACCCTGTTCTGATATATCGCATTTGGTTTTACTCTCTTCAAAAAAAGTAATAAGAACTGTGGAGTAATAAAACCCAAAATGTGTAATTGTCATTGTACAAAAGAAAAGAAAGTGCTCTAAAGGTTATAACTGCATATATGTTTAAGTGTATAAGATAGATAACCATATTACTGAGTTTTGTTGGATCATTGAACAAAACTGTTTCCAGTCTCACTGTTTGAATGTCTTTATATGCTTTAATTTTGTAACTTGAACAACTATTTCTAAGATGAGAATATGTAATCTATTAACTAGTGATTTCTTACTGTTTATTTTTTTAAATTTTGTATTACTTGTACCCTTTTTCTGTTTTTTTCTTTTTCTCCTTAAATAAAATTAAAAAAACAAAACACCCGCGTGAGAGAGAGCATGTGGTGCTTGTCTTTCTGTGTCTGACTTATTTCACTAAGTATAATGTCATCTGATTTCACCCATTTTGCTGTAAACAATAGGTATGATTCTTTCATTGCTCAGTCCTGTTCCACTATGGAAATTCACCATATTTTCATTGTCTACTCCACTGGTGGACACAGCTGATTGCATGCCATGGCTGCTATGGGCAGGGCAGCAATGGTGTGCAAGTGTACCCATATGCTATTGTCACTTCCTTTGGATTTGACAGTGGGGCCTCGCTGATAGGCCTATTCTCTGTTATCCACATCCTCACCCATGTGTGTTATTTCATTTGCTTATTCCCCTGTAGTTTGGCATCTGCAATCCAGTTGCTCTCTGTCCCTCTTCTCTCCCCTGTCTGTGAGATCTGTGTTTTCTGCTTCCACAGAAGTAAGTATGAGCACCTCACAGCAGCTGGTGTACTTCAGCTGACACCCTGTCCACTGGATGTCAAAGGTTCCTGACACACACAGATGCTACACTGAGGTGAATGCTAAATGCTCTGATTTGAATGATACAAGTCATATAAAAATATCTGTGCCCCAAGATTATGTGTTGATTTTTTAATTTAAGTTTATCAGTGCATTTTTGAAACATTTAATGATCATATTCATCATGGAGAATTTGTTTGTGTTGATCTTTTTAATAAAAGGGAAATGGAAAGACAACACCAGGCAGCTCCTTGGACAGTGCAGCTGTCCCAGGGCTGGCAGGCCTTCCTACATCGTGGAGGAGCACAGTAACTGCCCTGTTGCCCTGGACCCATGTCCCTCTCATGTCCCTGGGGGAAGCCCACACAGCAGGGAGGCTGCTCTGCCTATCTGCTTTCTCAGCCTCTGGACAATCAGCCTGGGTTGCCTATAGCACGTGCGGCACTGGCACTCCGTACTGTGGGTGCAGCCTGCTCCTCAGGGCCACAGGGCACGTCCAGCCGAGGGTGGCAGCACCCCCTTGCAGCAGGCCCGAGAGGAAGGGTCAGGCCACATCTGGAGTGCTCTGGCAGGTGACCCACTCTTGACCACTCCAGCAGGGACACCCAGGAAGGTACCCGGCCGTAGGTGGGTCTCGAACCAATCAGCTTCTTGCCTGGATTACATCCAGGTGAGTGGCCAGTGGGAACAGGAGTATTTGGGGGAAGATAATGATTAAAGATGTTTAAAGAGAGGGTGAAGACACAAAAACAACTGAAACTGAGCGTGGTGGTGCATGCCTATAATCCCAGCACTTTGGAGGCTGAGGCATAAGGATCACTTTGAGTTTAAGGCCAGCCTGGGCTACATATTAAAACCTGGTCTCAACGAACAAACAACATCCACCCCTCAAAAAAAAAAAAAAAAAAAAGAAAAGAAAAGAAAAGAAACTAGTTGAAGCCAGCCTTGTCATTTGTGGGGATTCATTTGCCCCCCAAGGTGAAAAGAAGATTCTGGATGCCAGTGTCGACTTATGAGAAGGAGCGGACACTACAACCTCTGTCAGCTGTTGCAGCTTTCCTGCCAGAGGGGCACAAGTGCCCCTCAGCATCTATGATGCTGGCTTCCAGGGCCCCTGCTGACACCCTGCCATGGCGCTCATGCCACCTATATGGATATTGTGGCACTGTTGGCACCCACATGGTCCTCCCAGACCTTAATGCCCCATCCCTCACAGTGCCCACCGTGCCCCATGTGCCATGAGCACAGCCACCTTTCCATGGTGCTTAGGGAGTGACAGAAAGTATTCTGTCCGGAAAACACATGACTTTCTTGTTTTTGAAATACATTCTGTCTGCAAGGACTGGTCTATAGATGCAGAACTCCAGGTGATGGCATGGCAGGCCATGTGCCCTTAGGAGGGGCATGGGTGACAGTGCATGGGTGAGGGTCCATTCCCAGGAAGTAGCATGGAGCTCCAGGGCACTGCCTCAGGCTCCCCCCACCACCAGGCTCAGGCTCTCCTTCCCCTGAAGTGACCAGTGTATAAATAAATACGAGCCCTGATATGATGTCGGTGTAAATACATGGTGGGCAGAAGATGTTTAAGTTAGAAAACTTACTCCAGTAAGAACACATTGCCACCAGTTCCCCTCCAAAGTCTCCCCTCACCTCAGCCCCATGGGCCCTGCCACTTCCTGGAGCAGCCTGGAGTCCTCTGTCATGAGCACAGCGGTGGAGTGGGACATAGTTGTCACCTATGTGGGACACCAGCAGGTCCCACATCCGTGCTGCACCTCCTGGAGCAGGACGTCACCTCGTATTTTACCCTGGGCATCCTTGTGGGCTCCAAACTTCAGGGGCCGCAGGGTGAGTTTCTGCTCCAGCTTGGGCTTCCTCTCTGCCATGAGAGGCTGGGATTACCTCACAAAGCTCACCAGGTCACAAGGAAGAGGGAGCAGAGGGGCCCAGGAGGCAGGTGAATGTGGACAGCTGTCACAGAGGAGGCTGGCACGGCTGGGTGCAGCAGTCCCCACCCAGCCAAGCCCTGTGTTGCTGAGCCCTACCAGTTCTGTGAATCTTGGCCCTTTCCCACCCTCTGTTCACCCAGCAGCTGCCCTTGCAGCGTGGCCCAGCTGTTCTGAGGTTCCCTCCCTGCCAGGCAGTGGATGAGAAGAGCTCGTGACCCAGGAAGGTGTCAGAGGTGCTCCTTGTGGGTCTGTGGAAGGACAGCGTGGTGTTTTGGTGGTCGTACGGGGGCTTTCTGCGGATCTACACAGGACCTTGGAAGGAGGGGCTGGGGCAGAATCTCTGTTTGGATAGCTTGAGTCATAGGTGAGGAATCTTCAAAGCTGCAGAGATGGAGGCTACAGGTGGGAGGAGCCTGTGGCTGCTGCTGCCAGCCCTGGTCCTGGTGGCCAGGCAGCAACACTTCCAGGAGTGGCCAGGCTTCCAGGAGAAGCCTATGAGCAAGGAGAATGTGAACTCAACCTTGGACTTCTTCATCCAGTCCTACAACAACGCCAGTAACGACACCTACCTATTCCGGGTGCAGAAGCTCCTCCGCACTCAGGTGCAGGTTAGTGGGGGTATCCAAGGGAGCAGTGCCCACACTCTTGTCGTCTTAGACTCAGGACTCCTGGGGGACTCCCAAGAGAACTAGGTGATGGAGGCTCCACACAGGTGAGGCAGGCTGCAGCTTCACACAGAAGGGACATCTTGAGCTTCTGTCTCTGTGCTCTGACCTGGCTGGACCTTGCAGTCAAAATGGAGTCTCTGTCCCTGCTGCAGTCCCCTAGGGACAACTGTCTGCCATCCTGACACCAGGTCTCACCAGGAACCCAGCACCCTTGACTTCTCTAAAGGTCTCACTTAGCAAAGGACAAACATCACCCATGGCTTCCCCCTTCCCAGCAGTGCTCTCCCAGTGAGCAGGGCTGTGGAATCCAGCTGGATTTCTGTGTTCTGCAGACATCTGGGATTCTAGAGGGGCTCTGGAGAGGGCTCAGGTTGGGAGTGGGGAGAGACTGCAACCATGTCACTTCCTCTTTTGTTTCCCACATTCTTTCCCTGAAAAATGGAAATTGAAGGATGACAGAGGAGGGAAAAATTGTCTGGAAACTGCTCTAGTCCCAGCCTCCCCTGAAGGAGAGAGTGAGGATGGGAATTAGGACAGAGACAGGTCACGTCTAGTTTAGCTAGACTCACTAAAGGGCCAGAATGGGGCAAAGACCAGTGAGAATCGGGCAGGTGCTGAAGGAGCAGACACCGGGAAGAGGGCAGGGCCCTGGCCTGGTGGGCAAGACTGGTGACAGTGCCCCTCATCACAGCATGTGAGGCCGGCACCCGTCTCTGTCTGGTCCCTTTACCACCAGGGGGCGGCATTCTCTTCCCTATCCCATCCTGGATCAGCTCCCAGGGCTACACAGACTAAGGAAGCTGCCAGTGAAGTCAGGGTCCTCAGCTAACAGGAAAGCAGCTTATTAGCAACCTCCTGACACCAGTCTGGTGACAGGCAGACGGAAGGGCCTGTCTTGGGGCAGCACCCAGGCCCATGGCTAGTGCCTCCCAGTGGATGCCACAGGGTGGTATGGGAGCTGTCCTGGTCCAGCATTGGAGTCAGGTGCCCAGCTCCTCCCAAATTGGAGACCTTGAGCAAGTATCATCTGCACTCTGTGGGCCACAGTCTCTTCACCTGCCAAGGGCAATGGACTAAGGAGGAAGAGCTTGGCCCAGTGCGGTTAGCGTGGGGAACTTGTGAGGCTGTTTGTTTGCTTGGTTAGGGCCATTCCTACTCTTACCTAACAGGTCTAGAAAGGAGTAAGACAATGCCACGCACCACCACTTTAGCACTGCCACACTCCTGCCTGTAGAAGTCACTCTGGTCATTGGCTGCCCTTCCCACTTTTGTCCCCCACACAAGGAGCAGGAGACACAGCCCAGTGTGGGTGGGGATCCAAGCTGTCCTCTGCCTTCCTGCTTACCTTGGAGGACATGGTCTGTCTTCTCCCTTCCTGCAGCAACCCTCACCTGTATCTACTTTGGAGTAACAGTCCAGACACTACTAAGACACTAATTTAAATAAGTGCCTCTCAGCCCACCTAGTAATGCTTCTAGTGGGCCCAGTGATCAGTGACTTGGGAAACTGAGGCTGGCAGGTAGCTGGCTCAGGGTCAGAGTTGGTAGGTAGCACATGTGCCCATCAGTGTGGTCCCCTCAGGCTGGCAGGAGAATAGCAGGAGTGTTGGTCTTGGCATTGTGAGCACCCGTGTCCCCAGGATGGTGGAGGAGCCATTGTGGCTGCCCAGGCAAAGCAGTGTGAGGCAACCTTAGTTGCCTCTTGAGTCTATCCTGCCGCACTCACCAGCGGGCAGGGAGCAGCTGAGTGCAGTGGGCTGGGTGGGGGGTTGTGGCTGTGGGGTTCAGTCCCAGTCCGAGCTCCCATTGGGATGTGAGAAACTCAGCACAGCTCGTTGCTCCTCTGGGCAGCTGACAACAGGTGTGGAGTACCTGGTCACTGTGAGGATTGGCAGAACCATGTGCAAGAGGAACAACCTGGTCCAGAGCAGCCCTGCCTGCCCCCTGCAGAGCAAGAAGCTGAAGAAGGTGGGGCCACCTGAGGGGCCCCAGGCTGGGAGGGAGGGAGGAGCAAGTATTGGAACCTCGCTCCGATGACTGCTTTACCCGCTACTCCAGCCACTGAGATGGAGGGCTGCAGGTTCCTGAAGAGCAGGGTGGGCAGGGAAGCCCTGGTCACCTGGCTCCCCCACCTTCCCTGGGCACAGCTGTGCTCCCTTCTCCTGGGGGCTGATGATGTATCATTTTCCCCTTCCTTCCACCTTCTGGTTCTACCCTCCCTCTCTGCCCTTCTTGGCCCTTCGTGGCCCTGCCTTAGCGGGCATGGGGTTGGAGAGATAGGGTCGCTGGCTGCCACTCCTGAACCCTGCCTCCTGAGGTGAGCCTGCCTCTAAGGTGTCCTCTCTGCCAGGCTCAGGGCCTGCTTTTCTTCTTTTCCTCAGAGCCTGATCTGCAAGTCGCTGATCTATACATTGCCTTGGATGGAACATTTCGAGCTCTGGAACAACTCTTGCCTGGAGGACTGAGTGGGACCTCTCAGGCGTGATGCGCACCAGCCGTGATAAAGTTCTGCACAGCCCTGTTAGACACCTCGCTGGGGTCTCAATGCACACATGCTGCTCCTTACCCTTACAAGCCAGGCATGCCACAGCACCCAAGCCGGGGACATCCTCAGTGCACACACACCCCCTCCACCCCCACACCTGTGTTCACACTCGCTACACGTGCATACACACACATTCCCACCTCACACACATGGCACTTCCAGCGGTGGAGGTATGACTCCTAGGGTCCCTAGGGGGTCATCTCTCACTTGAGCTGATTTGTTTGGGCTCTTCCAGGTACAGGTACATCCTGACCTCTGCCCACTTTTGGGGCAGCCCTATCTGCTGTACACACACACAATACTGTGATCTGCACATGTCGGGGTGAACATATAAGGGATCCCTGAACCAAACCAATTCCCTAGCGGTCACCACATAGGTCCCAGTGCATGGTTGATTTCAGGGCTGAGAGTGGTGGAGCCAGGAACAGGAAGTGGGATATAGGGAACATGAAGTGGGGTTCAGGTGCCACAAGTGCCTGGTTCCCATATGGAGCTTGGACAACACTGACTCACTGATGCTCTACCATCTGGAGGGGCTTCAGTGGATGCCTCTGCTTGGCACAGAGCAGACTTCAGTCTCCAGAGCTACAGCATGATTTGGCCTGGCCCTGTGTTTTGCATAGGCCAGTTGCTGGGGATCTCCATAAGCACTGGTGTCCTAGCTCCAGCCTGCCTGGGTGATCTCCTGTCTGCAAAGTGGGTCACTGAGCTCCTATGTTCTCATAGTCCTGGGTGCTCCTCACCGTGACGAGGAGTGAGGGTGCAGCTCAAGTGTGACTGGGGGTGGGGGCTGTGTGTTACAGACCCTTCCCTTCCTCCCCACCGCAACCCACTTTGTGCCCCCATCCCGGGCACCTCCGGAGTGCACAAACCACAAGACACTAAATTTGCCAGAGAGCTAGGGAGAAATCCAGGGAGGTGTGGGGCTGGTGACATCAAATGTGCAAGAATAGGCCTCCAGTCCTGCACATCATCTACCTCTGGCCCTGGTCTTCACCACCAGCCCAGCAGTCCTGTGGAAAGATGCTGTCACCTCTGAGGTGCAGGACAGGAGCTGCTGAGGCATCCAGGTCCAGATCCCAGCACCATCTGAGTCCAGGAGGGGTGGCCACCTGGAGAAGATTCTCTGTGGCCAGGCTTCCTCCCCTTGGTCCATCTGTGCTGTCTATGTGTGCATTAACAGTGGGCATGATGTCCAACAGCCTAGGAGCTTTGGGCTTGATTCAGATGAAAATTGTGAACTGGCAAAGCTGGCACAGCTCTGTCAGCATTCCTGATGTCACCAGTCAACAGTCCACAATGCTGGATGTCAACAGCTGACACAGTTGGCTGCTGGACACTGTATGTTGACTCTAGTGGGTTCTGTTTATTGCAAGTGGTCTTCATTGGCTATTGGTCTCTGGACCCCTTTGGTGTTAACAGTTTTTAAGGATTCATTCATCTTCCTTTGGTCATATTCTATTCATACTACTCAGGATAAAACTCCCAAGTAGATTTATAAGACTTTTGGAGTCTATACTAGCAAAGGAATAAATCATGAGCTGGTTTCCAGGACCAGCAAAGCGAGTCTTAATCTACACAGGGCTGTGCTGCCACACAGGGCTCAGTATATGGGAGGGACCCTAGTAGACTGAAAAGTGGCTGGGAAGAGAGTACGACTTATGTAGCAGCTGGCTTACCTAGCTTATGTAGCAGCCACAGACCTGGGTTAGTGAGGGGCGAGGTGGAAAGCTCCCTATGAATGTTGGGTATGCAAATAAGGGACCTAGATTCCCTGTGCCTGGCCTTAGCCACTTCAGGGAGCCCCCTTTCTCCTCCAAGAAAGCAGCAGCGGTATCTGAATCTGGAGTCATGGAAGGAGCGCCATACTGCCTGCCTGCCTGCACTCCTGTTGGAGTGGAGACTGGTGATTTGATAGCCAGAAAGGGCACTGAAATGGTCTATGGGGAGCCAATAAGACTCCTTCAAAGTTCAGGGGCATCTAAGGATACCTGAGGACATGACCCCACTGTCCAGTGCAACTGCACAGTGGGGCACAGTTATGTGACCATGACTTAGCGCAGGTAAACCTGCCTGTACAGGTTGTGGTACTAGGTAAGAATATAACTGTAAGATAACAGCCTGCATAAGAATCATAAAGACAGGTGGCCCTTGTACTGTTGCAATCTTGTACTCAGCTCTGCTCCCTGTTGCCTGCTGTTGCTGATGTCTTGCACACATGCTTTAACCTGGGACCTCACCTTTGAACACCTCACTTGGATCTCCTGAGAAGGTCCATGTGGTCCCAGTCCACTGGGGTATAAGGGGAAGCAAAGTGAGGTGAGGGAAAGGGATATGACAGGCACCAGCTGAGCCGCCTTTCCCCCAGCCTGCATGGGAAAAATGAGTCTGGTGCTTCTTATCTGTCTGTCTCTGTCTCTCTCTCCCCCAGACATACACGCATGTAACTGCTGGGTACACTTCAAAAGAGAACTCAATGACACGATGGGAATTTTCATACTTATTTTTTCCTTAATTTGCCTTTCTGATATGAACTAATTTATTTTATATCTTTTATTTATGTGGTCAGGGTAATAATTCTATTTCTATTTAATGTCATTTTATACCGTCTATAATGTTTGACTAAACTTTATGACATTGCTCTGAAAGGTGAACTTTTCTCTATCCCCCATCCACCTCACTTTTCTTACTGACATAAAGCAGGGCTGGAATCAGCTGGTGGCTGGGATGGGTGGGACTCGGGCCGGCTGGGGGCCATCACGATGGGGCTCCTGAGCTGGAGTGGCAAAGCAGCACACATATGTCTTGCAGTGATGCTTAATCTTGATTGTCAACTCAGTTGGCTGGTGAGATGCCCTGGGATTGGTAAAACACACTTCCCATTGTGTGTGTGTGTGTGTGGGAGTCACAGGAAGTGACTTCGGAGCCTATGCCTGGCTCCTAGCCCCTTATTCACTGATTACTCTTCCTCTTGCTGCTTCCTGGCTGTCATGAGTCAGGTCACTTCTTCCATCCCACAGTCCTGCCATTATGTTTCTCCCTCATAACCTGCTGACTACAGACTGCAGCCTCCAAACCCAAGAGCCAAATAAACCTTTCCTCCTCTAAGTTGTGGGTGTTAGGTATTCAGTAACAGGGATCTGGCTGACACATATTCGAAGGCTACTTCTTGGTTGTGATGTTTTTCTATGATCCCACGATGGACAAGACAGCCATTTATCTTGTAAGTAGATAGCTATCAAGGGGCAGGGCCTATGATGCCCCTTCACAAGGGGCAGCGCCTTGAAAAGAAAACAGCAGGTACACCAGCTTAAGCAAGCCACAGAGGTAGCTAAACTCAGAAATGTCAGATGGAATGAGAGAATGGTAAGTGTTAAGATAGGGACTGGCAGTGAGGAGTCTTCCATCAGGAAAGGAATTCTTTTAGTGGAATGGAATGCCCCAAATTAACCACTTTTCTCTACAGCCAGGCCAGGTTTCCAAGAATTTAAAGATGCTGAGAAACTGGCTTTTCTTCTCAACTCTGCATTGAAAGCCTGAGCCCCATTTGGTTACTTTAAACCCAAGAGGCTCCCTGTGACAGTGACCACAGGACACTAAGCAGATTCCTGTGCTCTGCTTAGCCATGAAGAGCCTGAAGAGGCCACGGCAGAACCCGATTTTGGAACCTTTCCCAACTGCCAGGAGCTTTCTGTTTTCTTTTTCCCAATAAACGCTCCCATTAACCTCCTCCTTTGCCTGCAGTTCCATTCTTTGACTACACAAGAGAAGAGTCTGGTTTGGGGTATAATAAGATGAAGCCTTCAGAGGAAGAGCTCAGGGGACGTCTTTGCACCGTCCTTGCAAATTCCTAAGAGAATGTATTATTTCAAAAACAAAGAAAAATATTGCAAAGTCCAGGCTCAAAAGTCCTGGCTCAAAAGTCCGGGCTATTCATGGGTACAAATGGTGTATCTCTTTCCTCTACCCGAGGGTAACACATTAGTTGCTGATTAAGGTTGAATGACCAGCATGGCCACGCTGCTCTTACCAGCTGTCTTGCTGCAGCTGGCATTTCTGAGTCTCTGCTGTGGGTAGGTGTGGTATTAAGCAACTTACACACCTGATCATATTTAATCTTTGTCACTAATCCAAGAAGTAGGAATTGTGTTTCTTTGTTAAAATGAGGATGCTGTAGAAGGAGGTCTCCTCATGTGTCTGTGTGTGTGTGTTGTTTTTTTACTTGAGGTGAATGGGGTTTCTCCTCACAGTCTCCCGAGATGCCCCTGTGGACACTCGTGCTTTGCTGGCTTGTTAAGCTGCTCTGTGTACCCCTATTCTTCTCTCTTCCACCTTATTTTGAACCCTAAAAATTCATCCACATCCCCAAACTGTGTTGGCTCAGCACACACCTGCATTGTAATATTACAAGCTGAAGAACTGAGGGAAAAATGAAAGAATGAAACCACAGCATGAGGACCATCAGGAGAGAGGTCAGCCCTGTTTACTGTGTGCACTGAAGAATAGCAAATTCTTCCAGGTGGCGGTCACAGGGAATTTAGAGTCCTTGCATTCCTTCTTCAAGATCTTGTACTTTTCATCCCAGGGGTTCACATACACAGAGAAGTAGCAAGTGACTTGCTAGAACATGAGAACAATCCTCATTAGAGATCAGGAGCAACACTGAATTTGCTGAAAGACTTTCAAGTTAAAAAGATCACGTGCAGGGTAGAATTTACACACCATAGAGAAAGCAGAGATGTTACACCTGGAATCGATGCTTGCTCTCTGCCCATCCAGCCCAGATCTGGCTGGATATTCATTTGCTTTCAGTTGCTTGATAGAGCACTGCCAGGGTCATTCTAGAAAATGTGTTCCTGTCTGTGATCAGCATTCAGCATGCTGGGGGCTGAGCTGCCTTTGGGGCAGACACCCCTCCTACATACACCATGGGCCATTCTCAGGATTTGTTTTCCCAGCCTGCCCCCACCAGTTGAGTCCTCTCTGCATTTCTTTTCCTGCCCACTCCAGCTCTGCCCAAGAGGACCTGGGGGCAGAAGCACAGAAACTGCCTGTTCCTGTCACTTGTATGCTCAGGTGGCTGCTGATGCCATGTCTCCTGCTATGGCCATCCCCATCTTATGTCACCTCTCCCAGAAAAGAGGTGCAAGCCGTGGGCCCTCCAAGCGGGCTTGGGCCAACCCACATCGTGCTGTCCTGCAATATCAGTGTGGTTGGCTCCACAAGTGCCTTGGTCCTGTACCTTGTCCTGTTTCCCATCCTGGAGGGCACAGCTGCTGTTGAATGCTGGCTTCAGGCATTTGGTTCTCCACAGCTCCACCAGGATGCGATATTCTAGATGGTCGGTCACCTGTGGTCAGAGGATATACCCAGCACAGGGACCCAGTCCCGGACAGCTGGATGGGCGCCCCTCTTCTAGTCTGACTCCATGCCTCATTTTTTTTTCTTTTTAAAGAGAATTTACCTGCTCAGGAGGCTGAGGTAAAAGGACCTCAAGTTCCTTGAGGGGCCCAAGCCAACCTGGGTAGCACAAGGAGGTCTTGTCTCAAAAATAAAAAAAAGTAATGCCAGAGTTTGTGAGTTCAAGGCCAGATAACTCAGCAAGACCCTTTCTCAACAATCACCACCACTGCTGCCACCACCACCTGAGGAGAATTCACCAGGAACCACCTGGTTCCTGAGGCTGAGCCTACCTAGGGTGATGTGAACCCTGCTAAGGGCTCCAGGTCCTGCAGACTTTCTGTGAAGGAACAAACAGTGAACATTCTAAGCTCTGGGGGCCAAGGGTCTCTCAACATCTGCACACATGCCCAGGGGCATAACTGGCTGCTGACATTCAAGGCCAGCTAGCTCTGTGGGCCACTGGAGGCCCTGGGCAAGTGACTGGCCACCCTTGACCCTGGGGATCCCTGAAAGACTAGCTTCTTCAGCCCCTCAGGTGTGTTTCTCCTAAGACCCTGGGTCTGTAGGGCCAGAGAGCCTGCAGGGCCTGTTCTAGTGCAGGGTCGGTATGGGATGGGAGCAGGACACCCACCAGGCTCTGCACCCGGAGCACCCGGATGATCCGGAAGCTGTACGGGTCCTTGCTGTCTTGGTTGTACTGGTCATTGAGGTAGCTCAGAGTCTCAGGAACGAAGTCGTCTACTGCTGTCTCCTCACTCACTTTGATGAAGCTCTTCCTCTGGAATTGGTCACTGAAGGCCACCAGCACTGTCAGAATGACCAGAAGGAGCTTCAGGGTCTTCCAGGATCCTGCCATCATTCCTCGGCCCCCTCACCTGCCAGGCCACCTGCCCACCGCCCAGGGACTTAAATGCAGCCGGCAGCGATGCCCACACTGTCCTCTCCTCCCATCTGGCTCCTGTCCTGCCTCTCCGCAGTGGTGCCAGCTCACTGCCACCTCACACTTCCCCAGGAGATAGTGTCCATTATACATGCATGTGCCCACACATGCATCTGCAGACACACTTGTACACTCACACAGACTCACACGAGCACTCAGGAGCGTATGGTGTTGATGGATGGAGCAGGGTGGTGCTGGTCCAAGGTCAGGAGGGAGGGGGGTGCTGGGGCACAGGAGGGAGGTGGAGCTGACAGCCAGTGAGGAAGAACAAGGCTGTGTGCCCTCTCTGCCCTCTCCTGGCTGCTGGGTCACTGGCTTGGAAGTCCTGATGTGCGCATCCAGCAGTGAGCAGATGGGACAGGAGGGGATCAGAAGGACCCCTCACTTGGGGCACCTGCAGTTTAACCATGGGTACCTCCATGTGCCCTTCTGCATATAGATCTGGTGATTTTCAATTCCTGCCCTGGTGGGTGGCCTGGCCCAGGACAGAAGCCCCCAGTACTTCCTGTGGGCTATGAGTACTTCCTGTGGGCTGTGGGTTCTGCCAGTGCCAGTGGGTTCTTTTCCTACCACACACTTGCCTTCCTGCCAGGTTGCTGAGCGGTGGGCGATGCCACATCCTCCCTGGATCTGGGTCCTGACCTCCTTTCCTCCCTCTGATCTTTCTGCCCGCACCTCCTCCCTGTGCACCCAGGCCTGGCCTCCCCCTCTGCAGGAGAGTGGTAGGCCCTGGAGGGCCAGGAACTAGTCTCAGGGGAGAAGGGACACTTGGGGGCTCTTCAGTGAACTTCACTGTTCTCTCCATCCTGGGCCAGCTTTCAAGTGACTCCGAGACAACACGCGGCCTCCATGCCCAGGACTTGCTGGTCTCTTGGGAAGGGTGGAACCCGGAGCGTGTGTTAAAGCCACTGTACTTTCCATTTCCTGTCCTGTGACAGAGACATGCAGCTTGGAGTAGGAGGGTCTGCTCAGCCCACGGTCGTGGTCAGTGGCCCCACTGCCACGGTAGCCAGGGGGAACTGTACACAGGGACCACGTGGCAGGGCGAGCCAGGGCTCTAGACTTCCACAGGCCTTGGGGGACACACACCCCTACACCTCCTTCCCAGCTGGACAGCAGCATATGCGTCTCCTCATCCACCCATCCTGCTGTGGGCCTTTCTGGTGTGGAACTCGGGGAGGATGAGGGTGTGTGCCCTGGGGCTCCCGTGGTGGGGCAGAGCTGCCAGGCCAGGTTCTGTGAACTTGAGCTCCTTGCCAGGTCCACCATCTGCAGCTCCAGTAAGTGACCATGGCAGGGGCTCCGTGTGGCTCTAACCCAGGACCTCACCATCACAGGGGTCAACAGCTAAGGTCAGAAACACCTGTGAGGTGGGACAGGACATCTGGGCTGGGGCAGCACTGCCCACACAGCAGCTTCATGGCTTTGACCTGGACTCGTGGTACCTCATAGTGTCTCTGCCACCCCAAGCCTCTGCGCCTTGGTGGCCAGGCAGAGAGGGCAGGGAGTGCTTGCTGCTTCCCTCAGTCCTCTGCTCTGACTGGCACAGTTCCCTGGCCTCAGTGAGGATGTTTTAGTGGCTTCTCTGCCTACTGTGGAAGATTTTGTATTCTTCTTTGGCCTCCAGGGAAACCAGTCTTAATAAACAGTTCCATTTCAACATTCAGTAAGATTTATATAAAATGTTACATATGGCTTTAGAGGTGAGAGACTCCTGAGTTCAGCCCCTTGCCCTGGGCCCTGTGTTAAGAACCCCTTTCCCCAAGCTCAGCTTCTAACACAGCAGGAGGTGGCTGGGAAAGTGAGGAGGGCCTGGCGCCTTGGAGCCAGAATCTGGGGTGAAGCTGCCTTCTGGAGTGTTAGCCAGCCCAGGGTGCCCAGGTCTGGACACAGTAGGAAAAGGTGAGCAGGTAGCTCTGCTTACACACAGCAAGTCCTGGGCAGGTACCTGGGGTCTTCTGTAACCTGGCTGACCTCAGCCCTAATGACCCTGTCACTGACCCTGCAGATTTGGCCCCCAGGGGTCATACCCATGACAAGTCCTCCAAGGTCCAAGCAAGTTCAGAAGCTCTACTGCCGACATAGGGCCCCAGGAGAGCTGCTCCCTGGTATAGTCCCTCCATCCCACCCCATTCCACCCCAAACCCCAAGTTTAAAACCCTCAGTGCCAAGCCTGTCAGGTTGGGAGCTCCTGGCCATTCCCACCCTGTGGAGCAGACCTTGTCTCTCCCTTTCAGATAAATCACTGATCCTGCTGCCATCTTGGGCATCTGATCAGGTCTATGTTCAGCATTAGCAACCTGGACAGGACTCAACCTTGGAATAGTGGCACACCAGGTTGGGGGACAGGGTCAGTGACCTTCAGGTGAGGAGGTGGCAGCAGCAATAGCTTCTCGCAGAAGCTCCCAGGGTGCTGGCCACACACCCCACATTCCCCTGCTGGCCTGTGGCTCCAGTCAGGGTCATGGGCATCTTGGCTGCTGCTTCCCCAGCAAAGGAGATACTCAAGGACATTCCTAGGCATTGCAGGGACTGTGGGGGTGGTGATATGGGGGTGGAAGGTATGCAGCATGCATGTCCTTAGGGCAAGGGCTTTTGTCACCAAAGGTTGGGGAAAAGGAGTGCTGAAGAAGGTGGTTAGTAGCACAGGATTCAGTAGGCAGGACCTGTGGCTCTGGAGCCTGAGAGTGTCTAGCCGCATGGGCACACTGCCCACCCTGAGTACCTGGGCGCCGGTGCTCACTTAGGAACAGCAGTGCTGTGGATTCTGCCCTTCTGGGTGCTGCTCATACTGGGCACCCACCTCTGGACCATGGAGAAAGTGTTTTGGGGTGCCATCATCAATCTCACAAGGTCTTCTTCCTCCCAGGATTGCCTGTCCCTTTGGGCATATGCCCCACTCTTCCTGGGGCACCCCTGTTCTTCCCATAACCTGTTTCCAAGGCTGTGGCCAGGACAGGGGATATCCCAGCACTCCAGACAGGGAGCATCTGCCCAGGCCACCACTTACTGAAGCTTCAGTTGGAGGCAGGCAGGACTGGGGTCTGCAGATGAGGAGCAGTGTCTACAGAGGCCGTGGTGTCACAGTGAGGGGAGATGCCAGAGCTGCTCTCAGCAGGCCTGATGTCCTCAGCCCCTTGCTTTCAGGCTAGGTGCTGCCTACACCCTGCTCTGCAGAGCTCCAGACTGGACTTGTTGCAGAGTCCCGCCTCCCATCTGCTCTGCACATGGCTGAGGCCCAGCCCAGGGCAGGAGGCAGCAGGAGTGATGGAGGGGTGTCCTCACCTGTTGCTGGCTCCCATGCTATGCCTCCCTGAAATTGGCAGTACTAGGCATGAGGCATGAGAGCCCCTGAGCCCGGGGCAGGGGAGCTGCCACCTTGTGTCAGGACTTAGGCTGGGAAGTGGCAGAGGAAGTTGGCCAGCAGTGCAGGGCTCTGGTAGGAGCCTATGGGATAGCATATGGGATCCTGTATCCAGAGTCGAGAGCTGCTGCTCTCACTTCCCTGAACCACACAACCCAGCTGGGTGCTCACATAGGAGACAGCCATGCTGGGAAATGTGGTACTGCTTGTGGGGTTCCTCATCCTGGGGATCTCTGCCAGCTTTGATCAATTCACAGACATTAACAAGAAACTGAAGGCTTTCGCCATGTCTGTGGAACATGTTGTGTACCAGTTCAGAAGGACCCATTTGCTTACAAGTTCCTGCAGATTTGGCAGAGCAAGGGTCAGGTGAGAGGACCAAAGTCACTCCTGGGACCCCACCTGAGAGCAGGCTGGGCAGGATTTTGAGTTTTGAGTTTGGTAAATGTTTAAAATGAATGCCAAGGTCTCATGTGAAGAGCTAAAGTTCTGCTTTGATTTTACAAGAGCACAGCTCTGAAGGCAGAGCAGGAGGAGGAAGGGGAGCAGACGGAAGCCAGGAAAGGGACACCTGGCTCCCAGGGGCTGGCAGAAGGGAAGGGCAGTAGACACTGGCAGGAGAGGGGCACAGAAGCACTGGTGTCACAGACATGTCCCACAAAGGGCAAGGGATCCAGCCCTCATGGGACAGTGACTGGTAGTGTTGGGGTGCGTGGCAGAGGTGTTGGGCTGGGGCAGAGGTGTTGCTGCTAAGAAATCAGCAGTGCACGGACAGGAGGAGGAACAGGAAGAGACAGGAAACTCATCTCAGGCTGTGACCCCAGCCTGGCAGAAGCCAAGCAGTCCCAGCCCTGGAGTACACAGCAGGAAGGAAGAAGGACAGCAGGGGTACACACAGGAGGCATCTGGAAGCAAGGGCCAACTTGGGGTGGTTGGGGAAGCCCTCCTTGTCTGTTGTGGGAGTGGTGGCAGCTGGCGGGAGGCCCCTGTGGGCTGGCCCAGTGCTGTGTTCAGTGGACAATGGCAGGCACAGGAAGCAGGTGAATGAATGCTGGGCTGACAGGGAGGCTGAGCTCAGGATGCGGGGAGCCCCATGAATGAGGTCCATAGATGGGCTGCATGCTGCTCACTGGACATCGTCATCTATAGTAACCTGCACTCCTGCCTGTAGTGGACCAGGACAAGGGAGGCTCCCTGGTCAGGGGAAGGTGTGGGTTGCTGCTGTGCATGCAAGGCATGATGGAGTCCAGGAGGGGCCTAGTTAGGAGCTCATCCCAGCACCGGGGTGGGGACTCTGCCAACTGTGGGGTGGGAGAGGGAGGGCGAGGACATCCAGCTGAGCCCCAGAGTAGCCTGGGCAGTACCCATAGCATGGGTGGTGGCAAAACCTCCGTGAGGGAGAGCCAGGTTCCTGCAGACAGCTGCTACCAGCACCCCACTTCCTCAGGAGGGAGGAGGACCAGGAGCGGCCTTGGGGTCTGTGCTGTGTGGGAAATGACGGTGCAGACGTCACCAAACACTCCAGGCCACCCCACATGACAGGGCTTGTGCACAGCCGAGAGGCACCTGTGCATGTTTGGTACTCTCGACTGAGGATTGCTTTTCTTGGGACTAGGTTCAACCCAGGGCCCTACACGTGCTAATGCCAAGCTCTGCCCCTGAGCCACATGCCCAGCTTGAGGAACAGCCTCCCTTAATTAGGGGAATTAAGAGGAAAGATGGAAATCAACAAGAGGCATCATTCATGACAGGCTAACTTTACAGACAGATGCACTGGACTCCTCTCCCTTTTGTTTGGATCTGCCGGTTTGACACATTCTGACGAAGTATCTCACAGGCTCCACCGTTCTTCTTTGCAGTTACTGAGACATACTTCATAGACCTGGAGATGGGCCGCACAGTGTGCATGAAGAATGACGAAGACTTCGACAACTGCCCTCTGCAACATGGCTCAGGAGAGAGGAAGGTGTGAGGGTGAAATCACCACAAGCAGCTGGTCTTCTGAGAATGCAAGAGACAATGAGGAAGGGTCAGGATGGGAGGTGCTGGGTAGGGGGCGAGGGCCTGACCCCATGCCCTGCAGCTGCAGGGCTCCACACTAGGCACAGGGTCCCCTCTGTGGGCTGCCTGGCTCCTAGCCCCGGTCCTGGTCTTTGAGTGCAGCAGACCCCGATGTCCCTGGAGCCCTCTCGTGTTAGGGATTGGGGACTGTTTATTGCCTGTGTGCTGCAGCCTCTCCTTCCAGTTTGGGGTCCTATGACATTTCCTGTTGAATGGTGTCCTGACAGCGCTGTCCTGGGTAGGCACATGGCTCATGGGATCTGGTAGCTTTATTCTGTTTTATATTTTTTTCTGGTACTGGGAATTTTACCCAGGGCCTTTGCATTGAGCCACATTTCTAGCTCTTTTATATTTTTAATTTAAAAAAATCTATTTTTGAAATGGGATCTTGCTAAGCCGCTAAGTTGCTTGGGCTAGGGTTGAACTTGCAATTCTCCTGCCTCAGCATCTTGGAGTGCTGGGATTGCTTCTGGCTGTGATCTTGAAACCCAAGAGTTGGCATCCATCAGAGGCACCATCAGTGTCCAGGGGCAGTTTCTGTGGGGTGGAGTGTGCTGTGCTCAGTGGGGGGCTCCTGTGGGACTGTTCCTGGCTCTATAGGGACCTTGGTGGGGACAATCCATCCAGCAGGAGGCTGGAGAAGACGGGATGCCCCATGGACCAGTGACTGGTCTCTCTGGAGACCCGGCTTCAGTGGGGAAATAGCATCCTCTCCCTGCCATGCTGGTGGGCTTTGGTTAGTATCGTTTCAGCTTTTCTTTCCTTTTTCCTTTTTCTTTCAAATGTGGTTCTGATGCCTCTGTGCTGTAGGTTCCGAGTGCACCCCCATTTTCTAACATCATGCTTCCTGTCTTCCACAGGTGCGCTGCACCTATTTTGTGAAGGCTGTGGAGTGGTTAACCGAGCTTTCCATTGTGAACAGTACCTGTGCTCCGACCTCGATGGGGAAGAGCTGAGCCAGCCCCACAAACAACCTCATCCTCAGGAGTGTGACAGTCCTGGGTTCTAGGTCAGTGTACACCGTGAAATTAAAGGCCTCTCATAGCACCTTAAGGTCTCCAAGTCTTTGTGGCCACCTGTGTTGCTACTTGCTAAGGATGTCATTGTTAGGAGCCTTTGTTATCAACTGTCACTTTGGCTATGGCCATGGAGTGTTCAGTGAGTTCTGTGAAGTATCATGCCCTCCACTTGCTGGCTTCATTCATCCATTCTTCCCTGAGTGTGTGGCTTCCTCATTCACCCTTCTCTTCATGCCCCTGCCCAGGCACTCAAAGGAAAACAAAAATTTGCCCTTTCTTTCATCTTAGGGACAGGGCACCTGATGACAGCTCCCTTGGGTGGGAGCCAGTACTGTCAGTAGAGGAAGACCATACCTCATGGATACGGCAGGCTGCGTGACAGGAAGTCCTCCACGTGGGAAGGGAACCTCAGACACTGTAGGACCCCCATATGTTCCCTACAATTCCTACCTCCTCTCTATGATTCCTACTTCCTCTCTGTGATCCCCACCTCTTCTCTGTGATACCTACCTCCTCTCTGTGATCCCTACTTCTTCTCTATGATTCCCTACCTCCTCTATGTGATCCCTATCTCCTCTCTATGATCCCTATCTCCTCTCTATGATCCCTACCTCTTCTCTGTAATCCCCCTTCCATGACTGCCAGTCCTCCTACTGTCCTGGAGAAGGGATCCTGCTGGCAAACCTCCACAGACAAGCCTCTCCTGCATCCTGTGGGCAGAGAGCCAGGAATACTCAGTGAAGGGCCAATGGTCTCCCTCCTCCACCCTGAGTATTTGGGGACTTTGATTTGGGTCAAAATCAAACCCATCCTGGTTCCCTGAATGACCCATCCCTTGCCTTTGTCTCAGTGTTGGTGGCAGAGGACTCTCGGAAATAGCTCTGGGAGGCTGTTGGGTAGATTACAAAGATGGTGATGTGACCAGCCTTGGTTCTTTGATTGACCTGCGTGCAAAACAAGTGACATCTCCCTTGCTGATTCCCCAAGCTGTATCTGTGTAGGCAGGAAAGCTAACTTGCTACTCATTCTGGACCACAAGAGCACTCAGGCCTGAGATGGGAGGTCTTGTTCCTGAGTTCCCTGCCCTTTCCTCAAGACTCTGTTGTTAATGGGCTCTATGGGCTGTTATTTCGTGACTTCTGTGCTCTTTGCTCATGGCCCTCATCTTCATTTCATGAACTCTGTGCTCATTTAAATGTACTCCTTGCCCACCATCTGTGGGCTCTATGCTTATTTCCTTGAAGCACAGGCTTAGTACACATGTACCTAAACCCTATTCATGGACTCCATGCCCATTTCCATGGTTCATGGTCTTCAGGTTATTCATGTATCCAATGTCCATGCACCCAATGTCTGATGTCTATTTTCCTGCCCATTGCCCATGTTCAAGAATCCTATGCTCATGCTTCATGTATTCCATGCTCTTTGCTTGTGGTCTCCAAGCACACTGTACATGGATGTCGTGCTATTGTCCCTGGGCCCTGTGTTCATTCATGAATCCCATGCACATAGATATGAGTCCCATCCCGAACATTAGTAGATCCTGCTCCCATTATTAGAAGGCTGTTTAATGAAAATCATAAATCCTAGAAGTTATGAAAGAAAACAACAGATAAATTTGTGTATATAAAAATTTAAAGTTCTCTTGTGGAAAATATAAAAAACAAAAGCCAAACATGAATAACTCCAGAAGAAGGAAAATACATTGGCGGACAGCCTGGCTACACATACAAAAACACTATTAATTCTCTAACATTCCTTTAAAGCTCTTGAAAATCATTTTTAAAAATTTTTTTATTTTAAAGGAGGTAAAATTAAACACAATAAAACAGAACAAAATAGGACGTAAGAAAGCAATGTAAGAGATGTAAATTTCAAAGCTAGATGACCTGAGATCTTCACTGTCTAATATATTGTCTCTTGTTTTCTTCCAAATAATTATCCATGTCTTTGCATATAGAGAATTCATACAAAACAACATAGTATAAAACTGATCCAAACAGAATGAGGAAGGCATTTTAGGTCTTCAGAATCAGACAATATGGAAGTCACTAATGGCTGTTGTAGAGTCTCTCGTTCTCTTCAAAATAGCTGTCCACCCTTCATGTAAATTGAAGTTCAACAAAACAAAACAGGCAGCGGGGAGGGGTTGCTTGGTTTCCCAGCACACAGGTCCCAGCATGGCATGGGTCCCAGCAAACACCGGTGGCTCCCATCCTGGGCTGCTGCAGCCTGCCATGCTCACTGCCACTCACCAGGGTGGGAGGGGTTGCTTGTTTTTTTTTTTTTGGGGGGGGGGGCGCTCCAGGTCCCACCATGATGTGGGTCCCAGTAAATGCCAGTGGCTCTCATCCTGGGCCACCAGAGCCTGCTACACTCACAGCCATTCACTGGGTGATGGGGAAGCATTGCTTCAAGCTGTTTCTTTCCAATAAATTGACCATTTCACTGCCCAAGTTCTGAAATGGCCACAGACCATAGAAAGACATTTTTCTAGGCTCCTGCTTGAAACCAACAGTGTCAGGAAGCTGTTGGCCTTGATTCAGGGCCAGTTGAAATTAATTTTTAAAAAGATAGATGTAGACTAGGAAAAATGATAAAAATAAGTTCATGAACCATTAACAGAAGAAATACTAAGAAAAATATGCTTATATTTGACCAAGAATACAAATCAAATTCACACAACTTAAGTTTTCCCTTACCGAGTTGAGGAACCACCAGTTCAAAGGCCAAGAGGCGGAGAGGCAAGAACTGTCCTGATTTTATCCCTGTCACCTCCATCTGTGGTCCATAAACACTGTGAGTTGGTGCCCACCTGTCCCAGGGGTGCCAGTGTGCACAGGGCACAGAGACAGATGGAGTAGGGACCTTTGCAGAGCATTAGGAACTCTGCCTGCCCTGGAGAGGCTGGTTCTGTTGGTGTGATACAGCCCAGGCTCTTGAAACTCCATGTGCTGCCCACATGCCACACAATTACAAAGCATGATAATGTTAGTAGCAAGCGTTGCTTATGGTGTTTCCAAATATGTATGTGAATTTGTTTAAGAAGTCCTCTGTGTGACGCCTGGCATTTTCACAGTAGTACCGCAGGCCCAACAGTTCCTGAGTCAACTGCAGCTCACACTCAGCAAGCTGCTGGAGGGTCTACACTGCTGCCCTCCTTGAGGTCAGGAGCTCCTCATCCCTATAGCAGGATGGATGCCCACCTCTCCTCCCCCTCTTGGAACTAGTTGGTGGCTGATGCAGGATTTTCACAGGAAAACTGTCTGTGAGGGCTCTGAGGTGTATGTTTCCTGTCCCCTAAGGTCCAGATGCTGCCATATGACAGGGGAGGCAGGTGTTAGTGGTCCAACATCTGGCTCCTGGTGCAGGCAGGCTGACAGCTCCTGGGAAAGACACCAGGCAGCTCTTTCCATGTGTGCTTGCTGCTGTCTGTGGCCCTCTGCTGAAGCAGAGGTCAGCAGGTGTGAGGCCTCCTTCCAGGCAGGTCACAGGTACTGGGTTGCATCACAATATGTGATCTCCCTGCAGGGCCTAGGCTCAGAGAGGCACAGGTCAAAAAGGAGGACAGAGCCTCTGGCCAGGGAAGTGGCATGAACTGAGTGTGTGGGGACCACAGAAGCACAGGTCATTGGTTAGAGCCCAGCTTACAAGAGGAAGAGGGCCGTGGCAGAACAGGTGGGAGAAGGACACTCAGGCCACAGTTCTCATGGTCCCCTTTACAGGGCTAAGATGCAAATGACCACAGTAGGGGGTGGCAGGCACAGGCTGGGGGGCCTGGCTGGAGGGGGCGGCTCTGGAGTATGGATTCCACAGGACAGGAGGGAAGCAGATGAAGAGACTGCCTGGGGTGCTCTGGGTGGGAAAGGGTCACTCTAGGGGTGAGCGCAGCCAGGCAGTGCTAAGGAGGGCTGCTGGAGGAGAGCTTCAGGCTGTGAGGGCTGCCAAAACCCACCTGGGGGCCCTGGGACCAGCTCCAGCTCCGGCTGTGTGGCCTCTCTACTGGTCCTGGCAGACCAGGGGAGGGAGTGTCTTGGCCAAATCTAAAATGTGCAACCTGGTATTCATGTTCCTCTGTTCGTAAATATTTTGGGTGTAACAGAAGAGAAAAAATAAACCTAAAACCAGTGGGGCATTTGTTACATCTTGCTACACCAGTGCTCCAACATCTGTTTTGTGGTACAGGGGGTGGGTAGTGCATTCCCCAGGAGCTATCAGAAAACTCACTCTAATTTTACTCTCCATGGCATCCACCCTGGAAAATTTCCCCTATATTGCCAACATACATATTGCCAAAAAGGGGTGCCACAAAAAGGAGAAATGGGATATGAGGGATTTTCCTCTCTGGAAAGAAGACTCACAAAAGTCGAGATTTGATCAGCTTTTCCTTTGGGTTGAATGTCTGTTACCAATGCCATGCTTTACAAAAGTGAACAAATCAACAAGCAGTAAGTTTCTAGTATTAGTGATGTTGCATGTGTAACTGTAACAACATCACGATCAAACAACGGTCTGATGCAGTTTTGAACTTTGTATACCACAGCTAAGAAGCCACTTGACTTTCTGAATTATTTTACCAAATTACTGATCAAACCAGAGTTTAATGACTGAACAAGAAAGCTTATACATCTGCTTAATAAAAGTAGCAGGAGGCAGCCACAGGCGCGTGGATAGCCTGGGACGCCATTGCTGGCAATCACTGTGTAACTCACCGCATTGCACACATGTGGGTGAGATCTGTTGCAGATGGTCTCCATTGATTTCCCTCGTGTGGCTGCTGTAGCAGGCAGGTTAGTGCTGCCTGTCCCGCCTCCTGCCCCCCATACAGCCCAACTCTGGCTTCATGCAGCCCACACTTGCACTCTGAGCACTGCACAGGGCTTTGAAGAATATTGTTGGAAACCAGACCTTTGCAGGGCTGCATTGCTACATGTAGCCAGGGCTGCAGGTGGGACATGCCTGGCCCAACCAAAATAAAGGACTCTGTCCGTAAAGCCAAATGGAAGGAGGAGATCTGAGCTCCTGCACTAGGGAAAAGAACCATTCACAGGAGAATTTCCACAGCTGGTGCCCTTGGCAGAGGCTGCCAAGACCTCAACCTAGAAAGTACTTCTACAGGGACGCCTGTGACTGCAGATATCCCACCGCCCTGTCAATCTTTGTAGCCAAGGTTTTGCTTCAGAATGCTTTTGTGAGCATCTCATTTCTCCTTAGAAACAGCCCTTGTCTCAGCCTCCTGGAATATGTGTGTAGTTTACTACGGTCAACTTATTCCCATTGCAAGGTCCTGCTATTCCTGGGTAATCCTAATCTATATTTGTTTGACCTTTTAAAAATTTTAGATTTTTATTGGCACATGTTTGCTGTACATAACGATTACATTCCCCATGGGATTACATACTTCGTATATTTTACTTCCTTCTCTCTCTCCCACCTCTGTCCATCTCTTGGTCCCCTTCCCATTTGCAAAAGTTCTATTGTTGTGGAAAAACCAGGACCAAATCAGATGGAAGACACAGAGGCACCAAGGAGCTGGAAGGCAGCTCTATATTACACTAGCAGGCTGGGGGAAACTGAGTTTCAAATTCCTAGCCCCATCTTGGGGTTAAACAGAAACTTATATAGGTTGTTAGCAGGAAGTATGCCAGGCTGATAGCTGCTTATTTTATAATTGGTTACATAGACTTGGTCAAATGTTGTCAGGCAGATTTGTTCTGGGGTGAAGGCTTTATTTTAAATCATACAGCAGGAAGATCAGGGTCTTGGGTGAGCTAGTAGAATCAACCATTGTCTTTGAGTCAATCTGTCTCTAGGTGATAAGTTCTTGAAACAATCTAACATAATAAGACACCCTTTTTGACTGAGCTACACTTAGAAGTTGCAGCTGGCATTGGAGTGCCAAGGCTAGTTGAGTTTTGCCATTTTCTCATTATAGCAGGCTGAGCCTGCCTTTCCTGCTTTTGAATACAGTGTCCAGCTATAACTTTTAAATTTTCCTTTACATGGTCTCCCCATTTCCTATTATCATTTTTTTATTCTGTCCTTTGGTTTATTTGTGCTTTGGGTTTCTTATGTGAGAGGAACCATGTGATATTTGCATGTGTGTACCTGGTTTATTTCCCTTAGTGCTAGGGTCTGCAGGTGCATCCTTCTGTAACCCAGGCTCATCCTCTTTTGCAGCAGAGTAGCAGGAGTGACCACCCCAGCCACAGCGTCACCCCCAGAGAACCAGGCAGTGGGGCCTGCATTCCTGGACTCAGAAACCATGATCAGACCCCGGGGGCTGCCCCTGCTCCTCCTCACCATCCTGTTGGCCAGCATAGACCCAGCCAAAAACACGTCAAATGTTTTGAGGCCATTCAAATCTGTCGAGTTCTCAGATGCAAACATGAGGCAATGCCTGTGGTTTGCCATGGAAGAATACAACAAAGAAAGTAAGGACGAATACATCTTCCTCTCAAGCCAGATCTTGCAGGCCCAGCTGCAGGTACGGGGGTCTGACCTGGGAGCCTTAGAGGTTTGAGAGGATGCTTCATCTGCATTGGTGTCCTGCAGACGAAGGAAGGTCCCACAGCACTGCAGGTTAGCTTGTAGCTGCTCCTGGTGAGCCTACGGCATCCCCGCCAAGACAGGCTGGAGCCGCCCTTCTAATTCCCTGCAGCTCAGCGCAAATCAAGTTCGTATTTGTGGAGGCTACCATGAGCAATACAGTGTGGGGAGTTAGACCTCTCTTCCTTTCCCTTGGTGCCCTTTACATCAGAGGGCAGGACAATGCCAACTTATGACCCTGACCCTATGGCAGCCCCACCCCTGAGCTGAGCAGGAGAGAGGTGCTGAGCCAGCCCGGAGAGCCTGCTTCTCCCCTCATCCCTCACCACAAATGGCTTGCCTGCATTGGGGAGGAGCCTTTCCCCAGCGCCCATCCAGGCGATTCTGAACCTGTCTCAGTGTGCCAAGGACTCCCGGCTGTGGGCACTATTTGGCCCCTAAAGATGTGTGGGGGTGGGGGGAAGGCAGTCAGGGGGATTTTTGTGTTTTCCAAACTTTAAAAAAGTAACATATAGCTTCTGCTGACTGACAGCTCACAGACCGCATGGAATACATGATCGAAACAGAAGTTGCCCGCACCAATTGCACGAGGCCCTACAGCAACAACGAGATCTGTGTTATCCAAGAGAACACCAACCTGGAAAAGGCAGGTGACCCCCCCACCACGTGTATGGCAGCCCTGGGGCTCTGAGCCAAGGCCTCCCAGAATGGGCCGACTTGGGCCCCAGGCCCCCTCATGGCAGCTCCTTTCTTTCCAAGCCATCAGCCCCAGGTGGTCAGGACCATGGCTTTCCAGGGTGTGGCCTTCCCCTGTTCCTCCTCTGGGGACACGATGTCTGCTAGGCTGCTCCCGTCTCAAGGACTTGATTGACCTGGACCTCAGGGGCAGAAACATTGCTGATGCATCTTCCGGGGACAATTGTCCTCTTGACCAGCCCAGCTGGCCAGCTGCAGGGGCTAAAGTCACTCACTCAGCCCCTTGAGTGTCCTCACTGACACTAGCAGCTGCTTGCCTGCACCAGGTATGCTCCAAGTGCTAGAGACCAGACAGCGTGCCACCCTGCTGGCCTGGCCAAGACTCCTGAAAAAGTCAGGTAGCAGATAGGCGCAAAGGTATGATGTGGTCCAGGGGCTCTAGCCTCCTCCTCCTCAATTTTTTTTGTGCCAGTTTGAATTGAACCCAGAGTCTTCACACTGAGCTATACTTCTAGACCCCCCTCCTCCATTTTTTATTTTGAGACAGTCTTACTAAGTCACTAAGTTGTCCAGGCTGGGTTTGAACTTGTGGTCTTCCTGCCTCAGCCTCCCAGTTGTGCTGGGATTACAAGGTGTGCACCTGCGTGCCTGGCTAAGCCTGTACATCTTGATTTCAGGGCTTTAGGGGAGCCCTAGACTGATCCTGCCTCAGATCCAGGTCTGAGGTTGGTGTGGCGAAGGCCACAGCTGTTCTGTGTTCTTACACCTTCCCCTGTGTCATGGCTCCAAAGTGACCAGTGTCAGGATCACCCGGATCCTGACCATCTACATGCTGGAGGCCAGGTGCCCTCTTCGATGTTTCTGCCTCTGTGGTGTGGGAGTAGGGTAAGATGGTTACTAACAAGTCTGGACATTGTTGGCACTGGCAGTGGGATGGTGTTGAGAGCCACTGCTTCACATGGAGGCAGGAAGTCTCAAGTGGGATCACAACATGTGCACTAATGACATCGGGCTGAATACTGCCCAAATGAAACCAGCCCTGCCGTTCCTGGGCGGCCTGGACACTCTTTGGAAGGGAGCTGTCAGGCGTGTGTCCTGGTGCCTTGCTTCTTAATATTTTACTGTTTTGCATTTATATTTTCTCCTGGCTCTTTGGAGTTTCAGGGAAATTGTTTGCTTTTGATTGTTTATAGAAACAACAAGGAGAGTTTGAGTGTTCAAGGGGCGCTGTAGCCTTGGAGGTTCCTGGGGTTCCACAAGGCTTCAGTTACATGTTTTAAGCTCACCTTTATCGAGGGTGAAAACTCCTGGTCTCTGCAAGCCTTGGAGATAATGCTGTAGAGTGGGGACCCGGAGTCCATCTTGTTCTTGGCTCAAGTGCATGTCTCCAGATCTGCATCCTATTATTAAATATTACACAAAGGGCTGTCAGTTCTCTCCAGACTGCATTTACTTTTTCAATTAAGAAGGTTTTCTTCTATCAAATATTCTTTTAATATCTACCAAGTACATCGGGTAACTCTTCTCTTTTGATCTCCTGGTATTCTCAATCAAAACAATAGCCTTGCTACAGTTGAGCCAATCCTGCAGGTGGGACAGAACCCACTTGCCTTCCCTGTGGCCAAGTACTTTGGTGGCCTTATTTCACCAGTAGGGACTAGCTCCAGTTACACTGGCCAATCCGTGCCTGTCTGTGCACACACCCACCAGCTACATGACGCACTTTGTGGGTTTCTGGACATCTGCACACAGATAAGCATGGGGCAGCCACGGTTCCAGCCTAGCAGCTTTGCTGAGCTGCTGGTCCTGTGGCATGTGGCTGGTGGCATGTGTGCTCTCCAGCCACGCCTTTGCTAATGGCAGAGTGGCTTTCTGACTGCTGCTCTGCTTTGCAGAAGCCCAGTCTCCAGTGGGACGTGGAGCAGGAAGGACTGTGTTCATCTGTCCCAAGGAGCACTGTCAGCTTAGCATACCAGTTCTTACTGTAGGAAACTGGCTTCTGATTGGATCAGTTCTCCCTTCCCCACTGTCCTCAGTCTCGTGCAGGATGGTGCATGCCCAAAGCTTGCATGTGCATAGATATGCACGCTAGTGTATACATGCAGGCCAGGTCTTATCCCAAATCTGCAGAACCAGAATTTCTAGAAAAGTAATTGCTTAGGGATGATAAATGTTTCATATGCAATTGGCTTCAGTTTCTTAGTCTTCCTTTAGGATTTTTACTGTTTCCTATATAAATTTGGGGTTGAATTAATCTCAGTTACATGTGGTTTCAGGGTTTTGCTTTTCTGCTGCATTGAGGATGGACACTTTTCCTTTTTTCTGTGTTCTGGATTCCTTTACAGATGGAAGGAGTTCTTCACTCTCAAATTTGGAGTCATTTGCATTTAAGTCACCCTCCTAATATTAATTTATTGCCTGTGTCTCATACTCAGTGAAGAACAAGCTTTCTTCTCTTTTAGCTCTGAAGGACCTCAAAGACTTCATCTCCAATGCCTCTGCCATTTTGCAGCTCAGCTGCCTGCCTGCTCACCTCTCTGTTCATCTGTCTGTCTACCTGTTCTGGCCACCATCTGGCCATTTCCATACCCTGGACAGGGGGAGGAAGGCCCCTTGTGAGGCTCCAATCTTCTCTTTCCTCTTGTCCCTGCTGATCTGTTATCAGCCCAGAAAGATCATTTAGTCCTCAAAATAGCGTCCACCCATGTGTCTAATAGAAATGCTTTATTCTCATTGTAGGAAGCGTTAAAGAGAAGTTAAACCTTTGAGTTTATGTCTAATCTCCTGCAGGGTCCTAAGGGCACTGGTGCTTGCCGTCTCCCAGTGGTAGGTGTTACTGGGTCCACTTGTCCCTGTTGTTTCTGGTGTCTGTCTGGGCAGCTGTCAATGGCTGGGCTATAGCTTCTGTAACCAGCAGCCTCTTGGGGACAATCCCTGACAAGTGGGGACCACTGCCAGGATGTTCTTAAGCTGATACCTGGCAAGAGGCTAGATTTTTCTTTTTCTATGGCATATTGCTGATTTTCAATTTCACTGTCTTTTGCAGAAAATGAATTGCATCTTTTTGGTGGGAGCACTTCCCTGGAATGGAGATTTCTTGATGTTGATGAAGGACTGCTCAGAAATCTAAGCCTCAGTGTGGTCTGGAGCCTGGACAACACCCCACCCCACGTTTTCCTGAGATAAAAACAAGGGTGGTATCAGCTGTCATCACGCACTTTCCATATCCACTCTTCTTGCTGTCTCCATTTTAGGTTCATGTGGGGATGGGAGCATGGTCCTTCCTGAAGCCTGCTCCAGCCCCACTGGATACAAACGTCAAGCGAGGTCCTCACCCCCAGAGTGGGGCAGAGTGAGTGGCAGGGGGGTGTATCCTTGGGTAGGTTAATAATCCTGTACAGAGGACTGGTCCTGGGGCTGCCAGTGCAGCAGTGTCTTCTTGATGTATCGTGCAGCCAGGGGCTCCTTCTGCTCTGAGAGTCCTGGTGGACCAGTCCCTGGTGGGAGAGCCTCCCTGGCATTCCTGAGGGTTGGGGTTGGTGTTGCTCTTATGAACATCAAAGGTGGTTGTAAAGAGAGAAGAATGAGTGCGGTAGGGCCAGGGCAGTGCACTGTCAGAACATGTGTGCTTGTACATGTGTGTGTACCTATGTGTGCATGTGTGAGGGGTGTGGAGGAGGAAATCAGCACAAAAATGGTGGCGGGAGGTGAGAGCCCTTTGAAGAAAGCCACCACGGAGCCCGGCTGCATCTGACGGGTCTGTTTCATGGGTGGAGCAGCTCAGTTCTCAAGAAAAGCATGTTCAAGAGGTAAATGCACTTGGTGCTCTGTAGCCATCTTGAACAAGGAGAGCATGGTCAGTTTCGTGTTCTGTGTGCTTATCGTGATTACTTTTTTTCTTTTTAATTATGTTTTCATGTTACTTCTGCACTGCTGTGGCCCAGGGTTCAGGTCCTGTTTCAGGCAAAATGTTGGTGTGAATTACAAGGCCCTGTGCCCTACAGATGTGCATATCCTGGAGCCAGGTCCTGCCTGTGGCCTGCCAGGCAAGGCAGAGCTTAGCATGAAGCCATGAGACCCAGAGGTACAGCCCTGCAGCACCTCACTATCCATGCCCTGCACACCCCCAGCCTCGTCAGCAATGCCTGCCAGAGACGCTGGGGCTGGGAGCTCCCTGGGGCTTGGCTGTGCTCCATGTGCTGCCTTCAGAGCTGCCCAAGTCCAGCCTTTCTTTCCTGTCACTGGAACAAAATCCCAGCTAAAGGAGATATTTGATTTGGCTCACATGCTGGGGGTTTCAACCCCACGCTGGTTGGATCCAGGGAGAGCAGCACAGTGGAGGGTCTGATGTTGGAGAGCTGCTTGGCCATGGCTTCGGGGGCAGGGAGAGGAGTGAGGGTGAGGGCAGGAGATGCACCCCACAAGGTCAAGTACCTGGCAACCCCACCCTTCTCAGGCCCTGCTTCCCAGCAGCTAGGTCAGTGCGGAAGGAACTCACCATCAAAGGAGTCAACTGCAGAGCACAGTCCTCCGTGACTGGTCCCTTTCGAAGGTCCCACCTCTGCACACAGCAGATTTGGGGAGCCATTTGTGACCTGAACTACGGCATCTTGGGCCTTCCACTCTCTGGTCTCTGTGCAGTGGAGGCTGTCAGGGGTCGAGGACTGGGGCTGCCACCTGGGGCCAACCCAACGCTCAGAGAGGGGTCCATCCAACCCAGCCCGGCTACAATTGTACTGTGACTCTGTGAAGGGAAATCGGCTTGTGCTTTTATGGCCACTCGGTCCTTCCTTTGTATTTATTTTCTGGCCACATGAACTGAACGCGCCCCTGGTCTCTCTGGCTTGAAGTCTTCAACTTTTATCTTTACAGGAGATATTTTACAGTGCTGTGTGGTGTCCTTCTGAATTCTAGAATCATGCATGTGCATATGTGTGCCCACACATAGGTGTAATGAAAATATACATTGCGTGTTTACATTTTAAAAAAATTATAGTAAAAGGCACACTGCCATGAATCTCTCCCACATTGCTTCAAACACACTCATCCCATCATTCTTGCCATTTTCTGAAGGTCTAGAAGTTTCTTTCCTGAGTGTGATCATAAATATGGTGAATGCTGCTACCACGTGCCATTCAATGGAAAAGTACATTCTTAAAGACATGACAGAGTCCTCATCCACTGTATTTACTGGATTTGGCATTGGGTGACCCCTGGCTCTTCCCCAATGTCAAAATGACCATGGAAAGGAAATGTCTGAAGTTGATTCGGGACATTGAGGCAGTCAAGACTGCACCACTGAAGGTCCTGAGGGAAAAGGACTCCAGAGCTGCTGCAGAAAGTGGCAAGCACCAAGAGATGAGTGAGTTTAAAGTGAGAGGACAGAGTCGGAGAGGATTCATGGCAATGTGTGTCTCGCTGTAGGGATGTTTATAAATGTACAGTCATCATGTTTTTTATCACACTGCTGCATACTTGTGTCACACACCCATCAGGGTGACTGGAGGTCTGCAGGTCCTGCTGTGGATGGGCTGTGCATACCTGTAGGAGGACAGGTGCTTTCTGTGCCTGGACACCCCTCAGTGGGTGTGGGAGCTTTATACCCTGCTCTGCCCAGCTTCTCCATCCTTTTGAGGCCTGCATCTCCTCTCCTGGGCTGAGACTCCTTGCAGAGCCCATTCTCACAAGGGTACCCCCACCCTTCATTGTCCCCACCCTGCATCAGAGGCATATCCTGGGGCTGCCGCTGCTTCCTCCTCCTTCCTCTGTATCCCTGGCAGATGAAGGCTTGGCCGGCTGTGTGGACAGATGATGGAGGGGTTCAGGGCATGCATGGTGGTCTGGCTTGGGCGGGGGCTGCCGAGGGTGCAGCATGGCCTCCACTCTCCTGGACCTGTTCTCTGCCATTCTGGAGCAGAAGGAAGATGAGATATTGGTTGGGCCATGAAAGCTGAATTGGCCCCGGGGACATGAAGATCAAAGCAGGGCTGAGTTTTGGGGACCTCAAGGCCACTGGTGGGGATGTAGCCCAGCTCACAAGACTGACCCAGTGCCAGTATAGCCCAGTTGAAAATCAACTCCATATCACCTGCTCACACCATGGGGGACTCTGAACCTGATTCTTGAGGACAGGTGTGGGGTCCAAGCAGGGCTGGGGTGACTTCTTCCCTGGTCTGGGTTGCAGATCCATTTGGACACCTGCATCCATGAGCAACAGTGGAGTCAGGCTCAGAGGCTGGGGACACAGCTCGGGGAGTACTGGCCTCTGCTTCCTACCTCCCTTGGCAGACTTCCTCCTGCCAGGTGGTGGAGATGTGCTAGCCAATGGGAACATCTGTTCCCCAGAGAGATTGTCACAGCTTCCGAATGGCCAAGGACAGCAGGGTACAGGGCTCTGTTACAGAATGTTGGCCGCTGCAGCCCTAGGCCCTGCCTCCACATGGTGACCCTGAGCACCCGGCAGCTCCCACAGCTGTGTCTCTGGAGAAAACAGTGATCCTGCAAGTGTAACTGGCTTATCTCCCCTGCAACAAGCAGGTGAACCCACCCTTTTAGGAACCAAGGTCCAATATGATAAAGTTTAGAAAACAGTGATAAAACACAAAGAATGAGCAAGGTTGTGAGCTAAGTCTTAGAAATCAGAAAGGATGGCTCCTGGTCCTGGGAGAACCCAAAAGTGTGAAAATGCAAGAGCTGGCAGAATCCATAGGGGGAGGAGCTACTGTGGGTGCTCTTGTATCACTGGAGAGCCGTGGAGAGACTGGCGAGAATCTTCAGGGTCAAGGGACCCACCCCCACCCGAGTTCCCGAGCAGGCCAAGCTGCTGCCTCCCTCTAGGACTGGCCCTAGCAGCACTTCACTGCAGCGCAGGCCACACAGAGGACCTGGAGACCCCTTCTGCCATACTGCATCATCAGAGACATGTGAGATACCCCAAATTATGACACTCCCTCAAAACAAAGCAAACTCCAACATGATGACCAGGGGACAAGGATACATTTGTGGTAGCAATGTCTTTGCAGTACTTGGCCTGATTGAGGAGAGCTGGGGGACCCTGGCACCAGGTGTAGCTCTCCCCTGGGGCCTGCAGTTGGTTAAGCAGGTATAAAGGACAAGGCTAGGTCCTGGGGAAGTGACTGCATCACCTGGACAGGGGTGAGGAGCAGGAAAAGGAGGCAGAGGAGGAGGAGAAGGTGGAGGAGCAGGAGGAGCAGGAGGAGCAGGAGGAGCAGGAGGAGCAGGAGGAGCAGGAGGAGCAGGGAAGCAGGGGAGGGGGAGCAGGGGGAGCAGGGGGAGCAGGGGGAGGAGGAGCAGGATCAAGAGGATCAGCAGCAGCAGGAGGAGGAGGAGCAAGAGGAGGAGGAAGAGGAGGAGCATGACTGTGCCTCCTTTCTCGTTCTTCTTCCCAGCTGGCTCCTGACGTGCAGTGAGGGCAAATCTGTCTCTGCTCTTCTTCCCTGCCCTCCTAGTTTTCGTTTTTTCTCCCTTTCTCCTGTCTTCCCCTTCCCTCTCACACCACTCCCCTAGCCCCTCGGCTAGTCACTCCTGTGCACAGTGACCATGTTGCTGACTGCAGGAGTCAGGGTTGCATGTGTTGCTCAGGGACATGCTCTGTCCCCCAGTTCCTTGCTGCTGCCTCTGTCTCTGTCTCTGTCTCTGTCTCTGTCTCTGTCTCTGTCTCTGTCCCTCTGTCTTTGTCTCTTTCTCTGCCTGTTATACAACACATACATGCACACACTGTCTCACAGGGCCCACTCCCTCTGCACGCTTGTCAACTGCAATTTTTCTGGAACTTGCCTATTCAAGGAGCAGCCAGCACAATATCTGTGTGCAGGGTACCCCACCTCCCTGCTGTGCCATTCATGGTTGTGGCAAACCACAAGACACAGCAGCATGTGCAGGCAGGCGCTGGCCTGCTCTTCAGGGACCAGTTGGGCCCCTCAGGTGTAGGACATGGGATAGAGGACAGATCCAGGATGAACAATCGGACAGGACAGGTCCTGCCTGCACCTGTTGCTCCCACCCCTCTTCAGTACAAACCACAGCGGCCCCTCCTGACTTCCGGAAACCTCTGCCTCCCCTCCCCAGGTTCCTGGGTCAGCCTGGCCCGCAGCTGGATGCACACTCCCCCTGCTGTCTGATGACACCCAGCAGAAACACCCAGCCCACACATGCAGGTTCTAAGACCTTTACTTGAGCACCTGGCTGCTTCACCACCACCAGACTCAATCAACTCTGTGCCCCCAGTGGACAGCCACACCTCAAACAGAAAATCTTGATCTGCACTAGACTCCACAAATCAGAGTTGGTTTTGCATGTGGTAGGGCATCCCACAGCCAGAGGTTGGTCTTGGGAGCAGGAAAGCAAAGCTGAGCTGGCAGGAGGAGCGGAAGGCAGAGTGTGGCCGCAATCACCTCACCTGTGGAGCGAGGCTCCTGAGGACTCCTGGGGCTGGCAGCAGCAGGAGAGGCCTGATTCAGGCTTTAAACTGGCAGAAGTAACCAGCAGAGCATCTGTCTATTGTCTGTCTGTCTCTCTATCTATCATCTATCGTCTATCTATCTTCATCATCTGTCATCTAGTGATCATCTCTCAATCATCTATTGATCCTCTATCATCTGTCAATCATCTGTTTATTAACCATCCACCTACCCACCCATCCTTCCATCCCCACTGAAGCAGCCAGAGGAGGAGGGAGGAGGCAGAGCTGGTGGTGAGCCGAGGCCTCTGTCCACCTGGCTCTGGTGACCTCTGCATCCAATTGGGGAGTAAGTGAGTCTTACTTTTGACCCTCTGGAGTGCTCTCTACACTTTATTTTTAAACTGGAATTTTGACCTCTTTTAGTGAGAGCATCCTATTTAGGAAGAGAACCAGTGTTATGGAAATAATTAACTTCAAAGGTAAAATTCCTATGTGGGCCTGTTCCCAGGAATTTGCCTGCATGTGGTTCAGGGTAACCCGATACCCTGTCTTTTGGGCTCCACAAACTGTGGTCCTAATTCTAATTCAGCATATTCAGCTCCTTTTTGCTCAGTGTATTAGCAGACCTTTCTATGTTCATCTCATGCACACATTTTGGTTCATTTTTTTAGACTGCATTTCACTAATATCATTCATTGTAATAGTCTTCTCTTGATACATATTTATGTTGTTTTCATCTTTTTTTAACTATTAGAAAGTATGTTGCAGCAAGTAATTTTTGCCAGCTTCTTGCATGTAGACAAAGATTTGTTTGTAAATTATACAACCTTTTTTGTTCCCAGAATCTATTTATTTATATTTTAAAGATAATTTTAAAAACAATAAAAATACAGTTTCAAAACAAGATAGGAAATTAACAATGGTTGTTATATTGCATATTGTTGTCTTCAAAATAGTCTCTCAGTTACCAGATATAGGGGTGCAAAATTGATCAAATGATATCAGCACTAACTATGCCTTTCAATGAACTATTAGAATGAGTATACAATTATCCAATCTTGTATATATATATATATATATATATATATATATATATATATGTATATATTCCCCTTTCTCTTCTCCTTTCCCACACCCCAGTTCTTTCTTTTCGAACAGTCTCTTTCTCTTTTATAATATTTATTGCACCTTCTGAATCTTATTTACTCTTTCAGTTTCTTACACAAGGGAGACAATACGAAGCTTACAAATGCAAGCCTGATTTATTTCACTTATGAGTATGCTCTCTAGTTGTATCCATTTACCTATAAAAACCTTTATGGCTGAGTAGGACTGAACTGTATAGAAATACCACATCTTTTTTATCCACTTCATGGTTGATGGCCATTTGGGTTGTTTCCAAGAATTAACTGTTACGAACTGTGCTGCTATAAACACGGGTGCAAATATATCACTGTGCTATACTACTTTCAGTTCTTCTGGAAAAATACCCAGAAAGGGAATAGCTGGGTCAAATGGGACCTCTAGTCCTAGTTTTCTGAGGAATCCTCACACTGATTTCCACAGTGGTTGCACCAGTCTACACTCCCATGAACAGTGGAGAAGGGTTCCTTTTTTCCCACAGCCCCTCCAGCATTTGTTGTTGGATGACTTTTTTTGATGACAATCATTTTTTTCTGGGGTGAGAACTTTTTAATGTTTAGCAAAGACAGCTAAATTTATGGCTGTTAACAAAAGACCACTGAGTTCCCCTCGGCCAATTAATTAGTCTGGTCTTATGGTTAAATTTTTCCCAATGTGTAGGAAAATACTGACATTTTATTGTTGGTGAATTTGAACCTTTACCATTGAGAAGATTAAGAGCATGGCAATTGTTTAAATTTTTAAAAATTGGGGCTGGGGATTTAGCTCAGTGGCATAAGCCCCTGCCTTGCAAGTGTGCAGTCGTGAGTTTGATCCCTGGTACAGGTAAAAAGAAAAAGACAAAAAAAATTACTTTCCTGTTAACCTTCCTCAAAAATATCCCCTTCATTTCAGCTGTACATATCCCCTGTGTGCACCTCTTCTAAAGCAGTTCTGAAAGTCCTCATTTGTGTCTTTGTGAGGTTTGATGAAACAGTATGGCGAACACTGCTGCCCAGTGCCATCCAACAGAAAGGCAGCTTAAAAAATCATGATGCTGTGTCCTCGTCCACCTTACTCGTTGGATCTGGCACCATGAGACTTTTGGCTCTGCCCCAAAGTCACAGTGATCATGAGAGGGGAACCAGGATGGCTGCAGTCGAAACAACAGAAGACTGATATTGGCATGGCTGTGGAGCAGCAGACCCTCTTGTACTCTCCTGGCGGGGCTGTCTGATGGGGCAGCCATGGTGGTGAACACCCAGGAGCCCCTGTCATGTGGCCCAGTAGTTCCATCCCTGCCCAAGAGAATCAAAAGCATTGTGTCTCCACAAGATCTTGGCCAAATGTGGTCTCAGCAATATCAACCACAAGAGTAAAAAGTATAAATGATCCCCATGCCTGTCAATGGAAGAACGCACAGATGAATTGTGGGGTGTCACACAACAGATTGTTATTTGGCAGAAAATCAGAGTTAAGCAGTAACATAGGACATGACACTGATGACCGGAGACCATGCTGAGAGAATGACCCCACCAGGAGGGTCACAGAGCATCAAATCTGCCCACACAGGATGACCAGATGGCCTGCCTGCATATTGGGCAGGGCTGGAAGGGGACAGCGACATTGTGGTGACAGCCGAGGAGGTGAGGTTTCTTTCTAGGGCAATGAGAATGTTCTGGGGCTGCCTGAATACCCTGGATGCCACCAAGCCTTAGTGGGTGCTGCGTGGTGGTGAATTTAGTTCATTGAGACTGTCCTAGAGCGCTTGCATGGGTAGAGGAGCTGAGCTGGGCCCAGCCCCTTCCTGGACCGCCCTCAGTAGGCACAGCCTCCATGCCTTCTTAAACCTGCCTTCTCACACTGCCTGAGGTAGAGGGCAGGGTTCTAGAGAAGGACCGGGACCGGTAGCCTGGTCGACTGAGGGCACTTGGTGGGGTGACATCCAGGGGACTGTCCACTGTCCCTGCTCATCAGAGGTGGGGTTCACATGTGTCAGCAGATTCTGCCCTGTCCTGGTATTGCCTCCCAGGTTGGGGTCAGCCACCCATGCAGGGGTCCTGTCCAGTCTGGGGATGCAGGCCTTAGGGTGTGGGTGCCTTTCTTTCCTTTCTGTGGATACAGCTGCCAGGCCTGAGAGGGATACAGGGCAGTTTTGGGATCTTCACAAATATGGGTCCGAGAGTGAAATGGATCCCTCTGGGGACCTCACCTGCTCAAAGGATGCCAAGGAAATGAAGCAGTTTGTGTTTCTTTTAAATTTTAAGGAGCTTTTTAATGAAGGGAATTCAGTCCTTTGCCAGATGTGTTTCAAGTGACTGTCCTGAGTCTGCTTTCTTCTTGATTCTGGGGTGTGTGTATGTGTGTCTGTGTGTGTACAAAATGTGTGGCTGGATTATTGTGTCCTGTTGTCAAAGAGCTCCGAGTTTAAACCTACAGTTCCCTTTCAAACCTCTGCGCTCCTCCCCACCCAGCTCTGCAGCCTGGCTCCTCATGTGGGATTTTGTCCTGGGCTCCATGCTGACCTGTGCTCAGCTTGGAGGAGGACTATGAACACCCAGATCTCTGCGTTCCAGAGCAGCATCCTCTGCCTGGGCCACCCTTGCTGCGGGGTGGCTGAGGATTCGTTCCTTGTGGGTCTTGCTTGGGAATGAACTCACAATCAGACAACATGGCCTAGCCCAGCACATTTGAAGACAGAGTGATGTGGCTGGTGGGCCATGTGGGGTCATCTGGCACTGGGGTTCAGTGGTAGAGGAGCTGAGGCAGCATGGCCGTGGCCAGCCGAGGCCTCCTGCTGTGCTGCTGGTGTAGCTCCTGTCTGTGGTTGGTGCCCTGCTCCTGCGCCCTCCCCTACCTTGGAGCTTCGCCATCCTAGAGTCCCTGAGCCTGGTATTGGTGCTTGGTTCTACCCAGAGACCCAGGTCACACGGGGGAATTGCTGGAAATTTCTGTGGAACCCAGAGGCCAGTAGGTGTGGGGTGGGGCTAAGGGGCTTCAGGGCCCCCACCCTACACCTCTCCATGCAGTGGACAGTGGCTGACCTCACAAAGGGGCTGTAGGTGTGGCCAGTCTGGGCCAGAAGCACAGGTGCCCAGAGTGCAGGCTCCACCAAGCCCCTGCCTGGCCAGGTGTCAACTGAGTGTCCTGGGACTGTAGTGGTGGGGACCAGAGCAGCGGCTTAAGTCCTCACAGTGAACCAGAACCAGCCCTGCTTCCAAGGTAGGTATGTATGGCGACTATATGGCAGGGCTGTGTGTGGCTGGGCATCAGCTTGAGGTCAAGGTCCACCTTAGAGGACCACTGAGAACTTGCAGCAGTAGAGATGGATGACTGCAGGGATCTGGGCAGTTTTTTGTCTGACTGTGTCAGATGGGGCTGATGAGGGCAAAGGGACTGTGGTGGGTGCTGGGCTGGGCAGAGCATCGAGAGAGTCTTGCAGTGCAGCAGCCCCTACTTGGGTTGGGACATCCCCACTCCATGGGTAACTGAGCAGGAGCATGGTACATACAGTTTCCTGTGCACACAGGCCCCGGAGACGTTTTATTGTTAAAACAATAACTAATAGTAAACTAGAACAATCATTATAGTCCACTAGGAATTTCCCACTGGATGCTTTTGGACCATGCACAGTTGGCCCTGGATAAAGCAAGGGAAGCAGGGGACCTGCAGGTGTTGAGACTGAGATGCGCTGTCCCAGGCAGGATCCTTAGCTCCCTGGAGACGATGGGCCAAAGGGAGGCTCTGTGAAGTGACCAAGCCATGAGCATCTTGTTTCCCTATGTCCCTGGCTGTGCTGCTGCTGCCTTGTGTGGCTGAGCCTCCTCCTGCTTCCCCCTCACCTCACATGGGTCCTGCTGGTGTCCCGCAAGCCACTCACTCACTCACTGTTTGTGCCTTAGCCCTTGCTGATGGCTTGGCCCTTGCTTTCTGACCCACTTCCGGGCTCATCTTCTGCACTGGGGTGGGGTGGCCTCAGGGAAAAAGGCGCGTCCCAGTTGTGACCCTGGTAAAGGCATGGGAAACATCTGCTGTCTCTCTTGTCTGGGTTTCCTCCTCCTGGAAACGGGGCTGTCGCAGTTCCCATGGGGCCTGCTGGTGGTTAAGTGGGTCAAAACCAACCACGCAGGCCTAACAGCCTTGGAGAGGCTGCTCCTAGGAACTGGGCAACAGAGAATGGGAGGCACAGCACAGGGGTGAGGAGGGCTGAGGAGGACCTGACACTCCCCCAGGAAACTGGGAGACTTGAGGGCGAGATGGGATCACTTGATGGGAGAGAAAAAGGGTGCGGAGCGTGCTCAGAGTTCTTCCTGAGAGGAAGTGTCCAAGCCCATCTAGCTGGACTGCAGATGTCCCATTCTCTCGTCTGCCTCCTTTCTGGATGTGGAGAGAGAAAGGCCCTGAGAGATGAGGTGACTGTGACCGCTTTCACTGCTAGTGCCCAAACTGCCTGCACTGCCACCAGCTCAGCTCCGCAGTGGAGGTTCTCCAGTCTCCCCCTCAGGCTGAGTTGTCTTAGACCATTTTCTGTTCCCAGAATATCACAGAGTGGGTGAATTATGAGCAATAGAAGGTGATTTGGTTCTTGGTTGAGGAAGCCAGGAAGCCCAGGATCGTGGGGCCTCAGATGCATCCTGGCAGGGAAGAAGCCAGCAATGCAGACAGGTCTCCTACTGCAAAGCCACCCCTAGTGCTCCCTGCTCCTGTGTGGGCCCTGGTCCCTCTCAAAGGGTGGAGAGACCACACTGAGCTGATGGCTTCCTGAAGGGTCACCTCTTACACTGTCACAGCAGCGATTCGGTGCCCATGTGGGTCTTGGAGCTGTGTGTAAAGGACGTGGAGCACCATTCCCTCTGTGACACATGGAGTATCATATCCCTGTATGTCCAGCCCCCAGAGACCCTTGGGGCATTGCCTTTCAGGTTCCCTGAGGCCTTCTCCTGTAGGCCCGAGTGACCGACTGAGTCCCTGGCCAGTGGTGACAGGCTCAGTCTCTACCCTCTCCGTGCTGTAGTCGGGTTGGGAACCCCTTTCTGTTGGTTCCTCTGGCAACCAGCCCCCACCTTGAAGTTATCTAGGGGCTTCCCAAAAGCCTAGCTGAAATGCAAGAGTGGCTGAAGTGGCTTTCTATGGTTAACAAATGTGCTACTAACTCCCTGGGGCTCACTTGCTGTGCACAGAGTCGGATGCAGACCAAGCACATATACAGCCCTGGCTGCTCTAAAGACACCTTGCTTGCTCTGAATCCACAGCACAGCCTCCAGGAGCTGGCTGAAGGTGTCCACTTGCAGAGGCAGCAGGGCTCCACCCTGGAAGCACAGCGTTCGTGGCCTGCACCTGTGGCTGCGGAGCTATGGCCAGACTGTGCCGGGCCCTGCTGCTGTTCATCACAGTGGCTGTGGCCCTCGAGTGCTGCACAGTGCAAGCCTGGGGTTCCCCGAAGGTGATACGGCCATTCCAGGACATCCCCCCATCCTACGTGTATGTGCAGCAGGCCATCTGGTATGCCATGAAGGACTACAACAAGGCCAGCAAGGACAAGTACAGCTTTCGTGTACTGCAGATTCTAAAGTCCCAGGAGCAGGTGGGTGAGCACACTCCTTTATCCCTCTGTGTCCCAGAGGGTGGGACCCATATCCTTAGGTGGCTATTGCCACTAGGAATGGAAAACAGCCCCAGGACATCAGCAGTCAAACTGTACTAATGTTATTTTAGAGGGTTTGGGAAGAAAATAAATGTTTCATTTATTGTTATCCTGGGGTGGAGAAGAAACAAAATACCCATTAAAAAACTTCAAACTGGTAAATCCCATCAGGATGCAGGGGTGAGGGTCCAGGACACTGCTTGATGTGGCCGTATGTAGAGACAGCTAGAAGAGCAGCATGGAGGGTATGATTATGTCTGCAGCCACCAGATGGTCAGAGAGACCTGCATCACCAGGCTGGTACCTGTGTGTTTATGGCCATCCGCTGCCAAGTAGCGACAGGGCATTCACTGGGAAAGGCCTCGCTGATATTTACTGACCTACTGGCAGAGGCCAGTTGCCCCCATTTGGCTCTGCTTCCCAGGGAACGTTTCTATATGAAGATTCCTCTGTGATCCATATCACCAGGCACTGTGTGCAGATGTCCAGGACTCTGCTGGGCTGGGATGTGGCTGAGTGATGGCTGTCTTCATCCTCACTGCAAGCCCACCAGCTGCCTTTGTAAATGTGCTCTGATCCTGTGGGCTGTATAACAGTGGTCACGGCTCAGGGCATCTGCTCGGCTCAGCTCCCCTCCCCCAGGGCCCAGTACCTGCATGGGGCTGGTAAGTGTCAGCAGCAGGACTGCACCTGCAAGCTGTGACTCAGCACAGAATACACGCTGCCTGCAGCCACTCACAGCCATGGACGGCATGGTGCAAACCACGTGTAGAAAAGATCCATCATAAAGACAACAGCTGGGAAGCTGTTGTTCATCAAGGAGGCTTGAGAAAGGTGATCAGAGTGTGGTCCCAGGTCCTTTCCTGGATACAAAGGAAACACCCTTGGAGAAGTCTGCATCCTGACCGTGTGACAGGAGTAAGCCTGAGGACTGTGAGTTCCCAGGGAGGCCATTATGCCCCTGTGAGGCAGGAGTCCCAGGCCCAGGGAGGAAGCAGAAGTTAGGTCAGCCTGGCTGGACCTGGGGGAAGGGGAATAGCAGAAGTGGAGAGGACAGTGACCTCGCTGTGGGCCATACCCAACCCCATGCCCTCAGCACCACAGCCTCCTCTGCTGTTGGACCTGGAAAGAGCCCTACCTCGCATGTTATTTTGGTTTGATTTCTCTTTCTACAGTTTGTGAACTTCACATTTTTGGTTGCATATAGCAATAGTGTGTCAGCCCCCACACATGGGTGTTTTGTTTTGTTTCATTTGGTTTTTATTTTTAATTTTATATTAAAGAGAATAAAGTCAAACAAAATAAGACAAAATAAATCCAATCAAAACAAACCACTGAAAGTGATTACGGGATTTCAAAACAAGATAATAACAAATCAACAATGGCTCTAATAATGCCTTTTGTTATTTTCAAAATTGTTGTCCATGCCATCAGACATAATACAACGAAACAGAACAGAATAAAACCAATCAAAACAAAACATTGAAAGGTTTTTTTTTTTTTTTTTTGGTGGTTTTGGGGGTTAAACTCATGACCTCACACTTGCCAGACAGGCACTATGCCACTGAGCTAAATCCCCAGCCCAAAACAAAACAGTGAATAAAACAAAATAACAGAACGAAACAAAACAAGTAAGAACAACGTTGAATTTCAAAAATAAGACAGAAAAAAATCGTCCATAGTTGCTATATTCCATATTGTTATCCTCTTACTAGATGCTCAGACTTTAGGCCTCACGTTGCTTTGAGGTTCCCGGGGTTCTGAGTGGTGATACTATGCACATATTTTACACAATAGAAGCATTAAGTAATTTTTGTACCTCAGTTGCTATCAACTCAGTCTGTGTTCCTCTGAATCAGCTGGTTGCTTGGATGGGGTGGGGGTGGGGCTCCACTCATCTTGTCTCCCAGCCCAAGCACTGGCTGGCTTATGGGAAGGGTGAATTGGCTTACTGTTTCTCCTCTGGATCATGGTTGCCACTGGCTCACAGAAAAGTGATTACAGGTGTGTGCTATCATGCCTAGCAAAAGGGGTGTTTATTACTATTATCTTAGGAAGATGCTATTGCATGTATTTAAGACATATATTGTGATGATTTGAAATAAATATTGTGAAGTGATTGATATTAGCACTAATTAACATATCTGTCCATTTTCACCTATGTTTTTCCAGAATACTTAAAATCTATTCTTTTAGCAAAAATTCAAAATATGATAGTGTTAATAATTCTAGACTTCATGTTGTACATTTGGTCCCTCTATCTGTTCATTCTGCAAATCTAGTTTTTATCATTTGACTTACATCTCCCCCAACCCTGCTTCTCATGCTCTGTGACCTAAGCTGGGGGCAGCAAGGAAAGTCCTAGCGTATGAGGTACTGAGATGCTCGCTCCGAGGTGCTTCAGAGGCTTTGTGTGACTCTGCTGAAATTCCTTTGTGTCTCTATTTTGATTCTTATGTTGCTTTGAGGTCTTGAGGGTTCTAAGTGGTGATACTATGCACATTTTTGCACATGTTCACACATATGAGTCTAGAAATAGACTGGATGGATCAAAGGGCATATAAATCTCTGTCCCTGTCCCTTGCCTAGATTCCAGGTCTCAGGGGATGAGGTGCCAGGCCCAACAGGATTGCCTCCCAGGGCCTTGAACATGAATGCAATTCACAGAGTCTCAGTCCTGATACGTACTGGACAGGCACAGAGAGACAGAGACCTTCAGCATCACTTGAGGATTCTGCCTGAAACACCCATTTTCTTCAGTCCCCAGGCAATCCTTTGAATTTCTAAAATGTTATTTACATTACTCAGTGTGGTGGCACCTACCTGTAATCCTAGCACTTGGAAGGCAGAGGCAGGAAAATCATCATGAGTTTGAGACCAGCTTGGGCTACAGAGTGGATTCAAAGCCAGCCTGCATTACATGGAGAAACCGTATCTAAAAAAACCAAAGGAAATAAAACAAGATAAAGCATCTATTACATTTCCTCATTTAAATCTGCTCTTTCTGGGAGCAGTTGCTTATTTAACACGGCCACTCTCTTTGCTGTCTTGTGAATCTTGTTTTTTATCTTGCCTGTTCTAATCATAGAGTCTTGTTCCCTCTGGTGCTGCTCTGCCCCATGAGCTACTGAGCTGTGTGTGAGGCGGCCAGACCTGTGCAGTCCCCATCACATGGAATGAGGTTGCAGAAATGGAAGGCTTTAGGGAAGGCTCGTTCCCAGGTTCTGGAAAACTCTGATCCCACCCCAACTTTCCTTCGTGTCTGTTGATCAGCTGTGCTGATGCACCCCACTTTGATTTCCTAGGGAAGGTCTCTGGGAGTAGTGTCCTTGCTTTATCCTGGAGAACACAGCCATTGCATTAAATTAATTATAGTGGAGGAGAGATAGGTATTGGCATCAAGGACGGAATCCCTTAGTGGTCCAGAAATGTCTGGTGAGGAGTTGTGGAGGAAGGAACAGGCAGGGGGATGGCCCTGTCACCAAAGCAGAAGGCGTGTTCACTTGCTGAGCTGTGCTTTGTATTTCATCCTCCAATCTTTCGCCGGCAGGTCACAGACAGCCTGGAGTACTATATTGAAGCCAAAATTGCCCGAACAATGTGCAAGAAGGCTACAGGAGAAAATGAACACTGCTTATTTCAAAAGGATCCCAATATGAAGAAGGTAGGGACCAAAGCACAGAGGGTGGACGGCCAGGGCAGGCTTGAGGTCAAACCTGCATTAGTCCCTCGCTTCCTCTCTGCCCGTGACTGGTTGCTGTGGATGGCCAGGTTCAGGGTTCAGAGCACTGCTTCTTTCAGTCACAGCTGGTACCCCCTCCCACCCCCAACACACACACACACACACACACACACACAAACACACATGTGCCATGCATGCATCCATGCACACACACACAGGCCTAAAGCAAAAGAAATCCATATTTCTCGCTGTTTTACACTCTGGGATGGGTTCTCATGGACAAATTTTCTGTCCTCGGGGTGCTTACTGGAATGCGGGTACATGGGTGTCTGGATATTTGGCCCTGTATCTGGGTCTTGGTCTGTGGCTGGTCCTGTGGAGACCTCTCTTTCTGGGATATAGACCTTTAGGGCCAGATGGATTTGCAGTTCTATACATGGACTTTCTCCAATGTGCCAGAGCAGTGGGGGCAGGCTTGGGTGCTCAAGGCAGGGGTTGGCAGTGGCCTAGTCCTTAGCCTTGAGCAATGAGAGGCTGGTACCTCTGCCGAGGCCTGGGTTTTGAGCTGCGGTTGGGTACTGCCAGGTCAGGCAGTGTCTTCCCCCACTAAGCCAGGTCCTGGAGCCTGGCAATGGGAACTTCTGCTTTTGATTTTCCCCTTTCATTTTCTTTCATACAAGCTAATTCTTCCTTTTGTCTCTTTTAGGAGATTTTTTGCACTTTTATTGTTAGATCCAGACCATGGAAATTTGAGCTATCCATGCAGAAGAAGCAATGCCGAGATGCCTAGTGGCCTCCCAGCACCTAGCACACACACTTTCCTGTGTGCAATAAAGGCCTGTGAGACATCCACCCTGTAGTCGGGCTCTGCTGCATTTCTGGATGCTCTGAGCATGGCACTGAGGGTGGGGAGTCCTGGTGAGGGGTGTTACCTCTTGGCAGGGTGGCCTGTGCCCAGTGTGCATGCCCCTTGTGGGCACACTGAATACAGTCAGTAGGATCTGGGCAATTGTTTTGACTTCATGTGTGCAGCCTGAGTTTCCACAGAAATCACCTTCCAGGACACCCACAGAGACATAGCCCACAGGCACTGGAACAGCAGGGTGTTTTCCAGTGCTGGGCTTGGGAGCGTGGACCTTGTGCACAGGGGGCCATCCCTGACCACTGAGCTGTACTGCCTGCTCAGAAGCAGTGGCTCCAAACCCCAGACTCCATCGGAGGTACGGGTGGATCTTTCAGAGGTTTGGATTTATTTTGAATTCAGGTAAAAAAAAAATGCAGGAGTACTGGTGTTTAGAGAGCAGTCTATGTGTGTATATGTGTGTGTGTGCAGCAGGCTGTGAGAGTGTATGAGCAAATATGTGTGTGTATACAGGTGGGCTGCATAGGCCGGAGTGTGTGGACGGGTGGGCCTCATGTACCTAAGTGTGTGTGGACAGGTGGGTTGTGTGTGCCTGAGTGTGTGGACAGGAAGAACTGTGTGTGAGTGTGTGGACAGGTGGGCTCCATGCATGAGCATGTGTGGACAGGCGGGCTGTGTGTGTGTGTGGACAGGCAGACTACTTGTGTGAGTGTGTGTACAGACAGGCTGCATGTGCATAAGTGTGTGGACAGGCCTGTTTGAAATGGGAGCTGTTCCAGGCTCTCCCACTTTTCCTGTTCCAGCTTTGGGGTGTAGTTGGCCAGGTGGGTGGGTCCTGCTGCTCCTGGGAAGTCACTGGGACTCCCCTCTAAATCAAGGCCCTGGGGCAGTGAGATGGTGAGGGCCCCACCCTCCAGGTGATGGAGCATGGCCCTGTGGGTACACAGAGCCAACACATGTGGAGTGAGCCCTGAGCTTGGCTGGCCACTCAGCAGGCTGGTGTTAGCTGCCCTTGAGCTGTGGCTCGGTGCAATTGATGCCCAGGCCAGAGTAGCAACAGAGGGCAAGCACGACAGCCTCACTCTTCAAGGCTGCACAGAAAATCAGTGGGGAGTGCAGGCCTGGAAGAGGGGCTGGTGTCAAGACTCCTGGCACCCATTGCATGACCCCGCTCCCAGGGGTCGTGGAGTCCCCACCTGTGCTGCGATGTGGGTCTGCCACCCTCTCTGTACTCACCTTGTCCTGTGGGTGCTCAGGACATCACTGTCACTGTGCCACTTCCCCATGGGCCATCTACAGGGCCTGGGGTGACAAGTACTCATGGGCACTTTGCCTCTGCCCCTGGTGGCAGCTGAGGAACTGAGGAAGAGGGGACCACGCTACAGAGTGCCCAGCAGGGGGATCCTCCCCAAATCCCCCAAGCACACACAAGTGGTCTCTACATGCAAACTTTAATGAGTTCTCTATGGTGACCTTGGACAAAGAAGAACTTTACATTCTGGGACAGGACCCAAAACTCTTGGAAAGTAAGGAAGGAGCATCTTTGGAGTAGCTGGGACTGAGGAGCCATGTGGGGAGCGCTGGTGTCCTGGGAGGTGAGCAGGGCGGCCAGTCTTGGAGTCAGAGGGAGACCTAGGAGCAGGTCTTGTTCAAGAGCGTGAACTTTGTTATCCAGGGCAAGGTGCTCACATTGAAGGAGCAGATGATGACCTGGGAGGTGGCAGAGGGGACAGTAATGCATCTCTATTTTCTAGTCCTAATGCTAATATCCCTCCTCCCCTGGTGTGCTGTCTACTGTCCTCCAAGAGGAGCCCCAGTCTGTTCTGGGGAGATCCATGCTCCCCACACCAGGGCTCTGTGATTCATGCTGTGATTCATGGCCTAGGTGGGGTAGTGCCCATGTCCAGCTGTACCTCATCCTGCCCACAGGAGCAGGTGCAGCTCAGCAGGCCAGCGATGACTGTGGGGGAATGGAGGAGCCCAGCTCAGCCCGAACTGTGGGCTCCAGGGCAGGGGAAGGACCTGAGATGGGCACAGAGGCACAGGCCATGCTTGAGCCCACCAAGCTCCTCTCCTGAGGGCAGGGCACGTGGGCCCAAGAACACACAGGGCCACTGTTGCTCCCTCGGGGGCCCTAGGGTGGTCGTGTATCCGGGACTTCGGCTGCAGTGTGGCATGGGTGGAGCTGGAGTGGAGCTGTGCAGGCCCTGTACCTGTCCTCTCTGTCTACCCTGCGGGTCCCCAGTGGCAGGCCTGTGTCTGTGCCGCAACCCCAACCCTCCCCTCAGTACCCACAGCTGGGAGAGCAGAAAACCAGCCCTCTGTCTTACATTGCTGAGATCAGCGTTTTTCTGGAAAGGGCAGTTGTCCAAGTCGTCCTGGAACTTCCTACAGTTGGTTCTGCGCAGCTTCAGTACCATGAAGAACACTATATCTCTCATCTGGAGGGGACAGGAGGAGGAAGAGTGGATTCGAGTGCAGACTGACTGTGAGGTTGTGCTCAGGTAAGGATGGACCAGACTCTGCTCCCACAGGAACTTCCCAGGGCCCTCGACCAGCTTTGGGAGGTGACAGCCAGGGACCTTCTCTAGAGTGGGTGAGGACAGAGGCTAGTGGCCTGGTGAGCCTGGGAAGTCAAAGTAGAGCCACAGGCCATAAACATTTCCCCAGCTTGGGCCTGGCTCTACTTTGACTTCCCAGGCTTGGTGGGAAGCCTTGGTGGGACTTCCCACCTTGGTGGACCCAGCCTCCCCTGCACATGTGTCTAAGCCCACAGTTGGATTCCTAGGGGCAGTGGCACCTGCCTGGCACCTGGTCATGTGTGCATGCTGTATGTCGGCCCTGTGAGCTAGAGTAGCATCTACATCAAATGGATGTGGTCACCTGAGCTGCAGCAAGAGAAATCTCCAGCCTGCTGCCATCCCTTGCCCCCCATGGCCACTCCAGGGCAAGTCAGGTTGAAGAGATGGGCAGCAGGAGTGCAGGACAGGGAGTACACCCTGTGGGCAGGGGACAGGGCAGAGGCGTGTGCTCCCAGCAGCAATCAGGGCAGATGGCAGGGCCTGTGTCCTTGTTCTCCATGACCCCATGCCTCCCACGCTTTTTTAAAAGCATCCCTGTCACATCATTTCTGTGGAGTCCTTCTCGGTCCACCACTGTGGACACACACACTTGGCGCTTCATTACTGTCTGGCTCCATATCCTTCATTGTTCTCATTTTTAACCAGTAATGTCATAAAGATTAGGTGGATTGAACATGATCTGCAGTATGTGGGGCCAATTTCCCAAAGGCCAGACTGTCTGCTGCGTGGCCCCAACCCTGGGCACCCATCAATGAACAAGGCCCTGGAGTAGCAGCATCCCTTCCCCAACTCTCAGCCTCTCACCTGCTCCCTCCTGACGCTCAGGATGCGCTCCACCCTGAAGGCATACCGGTCCTTGTGCTGCTGGTTGAATATGTGTTGGGCGAACTCCATGGTTGGGGGGAAGTAGAGCTTCACATCATCATTCGAGCCGAACTGTGATAGGTCAAAGAGCCAGGCCCCAGTGGCCAGGAGCTGGAGGCCCCAGAGGAACAGCAACAAAGCCCAGGCCATCAGTGCCTTCCCAGGCGGATGAGCCATGGTGTCCTTGCTCTTCCTGGACAGCTCCTCCAAATCTGCAGCTTGGTCCAGGCTGAAGTGTCGTCTGCCCAGCCCAGGCTCCTCCCAGGCCTCTCTGTATCACACTGTGGTCCGCCCCCACCTCCGCATAGAGCGGCTCTTGCAGTCAAGCTTACCTCTTGTGTGTGTGTGTTGGGGGTGGGGAGGAACACTGTCCAGGCGGGGGAGCTGCAGATAGGACCCCGCCTGAGGCAGAGCCCAGCCCCTCCTCTGGCTTCCGCTGCCTTCTGCCGGGACTGGCTGGGAGCCATTTGCACTCCCAGCGCCAGCTCCCCAAGGCCCACTGCTTCCTGGAGACCCGATCCTGGCTGGCTGGGACCCTGGGCTCTGGGGTCAGGCACAGTCTCCACAGTCACCTACAGAGGGGCTTCTGTGTCCCCAGGATGGCTGGGGTGATGCTGTGGCTCCAATAGAGTATGAAGGACAGTTGGGGTTTTTTTCAGCCCCTAACATCCAATTCTGGGGGGATGTGTTGCACAAAACTAAAAGCTAGTTGGATGGAGAGATCTAAACCCTGCTGTTTGTGACATTATTTATATGCATATACACAAACACGAGGTCTTTCATAATTTGGATTTCAAATGCTTTTTATGTTTTATTTCAGAGTTGTTTTATTAGTATATGTGTATAGTACTGTTCTTTCACTTCCCTTGTCACCTGCTGGATGGTCACAGCTCTGAATTGACTGCTGCTTCCTGCCTTCTCTGCCAGTGATACCAGCTTAGGATCCCCTGGGGGCTCTGAGTACATGTCCAGACCTGGGTGTACCATGCCGTGCATGTTTCCAGGCACACACATGAGCTTTTCAAAGCACTGCCCTACCATCTGTCTCCCCGGATTCCCTCCGAGAATTCAAGGCATCTGATTCTGCCCCACCTGACACAGACCGGGGCATTGTCTCAGGTTTCTGGGCACTACTGATTAACACCAGTTGTACAGCCAGGCATCAGGCCTCAGTTAAGGAAAAGGCAATGCCTTTACAGGATTCAAGGGTCTCCTGAATAGCCTCCCTTCTAGGAGAGAGGTCCCTGTGCTCCAATGGACCCAGGAGCCACATGGCAGTGTGGGATTCTGGGTATGCTGCCTCCAAGTCAGTGAGTACAGGTGGTGGGGACACTGAGATGCCCCAAGGGGCCTGGAGGCTTCAGCTGTTTCCCTCTACTGCTTTTTGGCCATTCACCTTTTCCCTAAGACTCTGGGCCCCTTCCTGGTGCTGCAGGCCGGACCTGGGTGCCCCACACCCCAAGTCTCACTTCATTTCTCACAGTGACCAATGACTTTTTTTTCCCACGGAAGCTCTTTGCTCCCAATGCTTTTGACAGAGTCTTGGTTTTTAACACAACAAAGTGCAAGGAGCACCACAGTGGGCATGGTGCCCCTGAGTGACCTGGGATGGCCCTGGCAGCTCCAGGTCTAAGACCAAAGATACACCTGTGATCGCTCCACTGGAACTATCACCTTGGATTCCCTGCATCAGTTGCTGCCCATCAGGATGGATGAGGGTAGGTACCAGGCCGGGCACCTGGGTATGATTCTCCATCCTCCTACCATCTCTGCCTGGACTTGGTGTCCAGGAGGTGACAAAATGGTTGGAAAAATGCCAGTTTTGACCATTTTCCTTCTTATCACACAGACTGGATTATTGCCACACTCCGGAGGAAGGGACAGTGCATGCTACAGTTCTCTACAGTGGGGCTTCTCACTGCTGGCAAAGTTGGGGCGGTCCTGTCTTATCTCAGCTGCTAGGCAGAGCAGGGTGCGGAAGGGAGCCTGACCTTGAGGCACCTGGGGGATGTGGATATAAGATAAATAACTCAGTGCTCTGACAGACCAGGGAGACTGAGACCTTGACTGAATTCCCACGACTGGGCTTGGACACTGCACTTGGGAAAAAGCAGAAAGGAGCTGTCTTGCTGTCTGTGGTCCACATTGTCCCTTCCCAGGCAGCCCACACCTGGAGTCACAGGAGCAGTCATGGACCCTGCTTGTTCTGGTGCATTGCATGAAGCTGCAGATGCCCTGCCCAATACCCAGCATGCAACACTAACATAGACCATTTGATGTGGAGGTGCAGAAGGCCTTCCCAGAATGCATCTTGTAGAAATAAATACCAGCACAGCTACATTTGCATCTATTTATCCATCCATCTACTTTCAATTTTTGTGCAACATATTCTCCCAAAATTGGATGTCAGTGACGTAAAAGAACCTGAAATGCTTTTCATACTCCATGGGTCAGAATCTAAGTGGCTCAGCTGGAAACTACCTGCTCAAGTCCTTAGGAGGCTGGGGTGAGGGTCTGGACTCTGCCTCTATGGTGGGACACAAGTGAGGACACCATGAACACTAGTGCCCTCAGGAACACGTGGTGAATATATCTTATCCTAGATGTCATAAATTCTGATGGGATCAGGAGACATAACAAGGACTGAGACGAGAAACAAAGGGGAGAGACAGAAAATGGTGATTATCTTAGCCCAGGCCACCCACTGGATCCAGTGTCATGGGCCCCTCTTGGCTCAGTTGCCATGTGCCCAGCTCACTCAATGTATTGAATGTCGAGCTAAGGCCACTCCATGCACAGGGAGGGACAGGAATCCTAGATGTCATAAATTCCTCATTGCTGAGACAAAGTACCTGACACCTACAATTTAAAGGAGGACAGGTTTATTTTGGCTCATGGTTTTGGAGGTCAAAATCCATAGTAAGCTGTCTCCAAGGTAGAAACAGTGTGGCAGAAGGGTCTGGTGGAGGAGAGCTGCTCAGGTCATGGCACCCAGGAAGCAAAGAGAGAGGGAGGAGCCAGGAGAAGATATCCTTCCAGGCCACACCCCAGTGACCACAGCTTCTTCTGACCAGATCCTGCCTCCTAACTAAGATCAGCCATAAAGCCCCATAATCCAATCACCTTCCCAAAGCCCCACTGCAGAACAGGAGAGGTCTTGGGGGACAGCAAGACACAAAGCACAGTAGTGGCTAAGAAGGAAGTACAGTAGGGACAATTGAGGGTGAGTCAAGGAATGCGAACTAGAGATGGAGAAGGCAAGAAGCAGAGTGAGTCTTGGGGCCTCTCAGGTGTCCCTGGGTGGTGGTGAACTCTACCTGTAGAAAGAGACTGGGGCTAGGACTGTGCACCACTGAGGAACCCCAGGAGCCAGGAGAGCAGGCGTAGGGACTGAGGCTGGATGTGTAGTGAATGTACAGCATTTGTTGTGTGTATGAGGTTTCCCAGAGGTTGGTGTGTTGTATACATGAATCTTAACTTATAAAGGGGCAGTGACCATGTGGAAGGTGACTGACAACCTGGCTCGATGACAGATCATGGAGGAGTAGTTGCTGAGGGGCCGGGATTTGGGGCTTAGGTTGGGAAGGAGGTAGAGGTGTGGATTTCTGTCCCTCCCTGTGCATGGAGTGGCCTTAGCTCGACATTCAATACATTGAGGGTGCTGGGCACATGGCACCTGAGCCAAGAGGGGCCCATGACACTGGATCCAGTGGGTGGCCTGGGCTACCCCTGGGGAATCTCTCTAGGCTCTCCCAGAGCAGGTCCAGGATGCAGTGCACTCTGTTGTCCTGGCTCCTGTCACCACCTCTTGTTCTGTGGGTCTGGGGTACGGTTAGCTTCCTCTGTGTCTCCCATGTCCTGTGCCTTCTTCCTGGGTGGAGGATATGTTTTCCTACATCCAGCTCAGCTGCCCCATGTACCTCCTCCTTGGGAGAGTGGAGTTGCACACAGAGTCTCAAGCATGTGTCTTGGTCATTGTCTCTGTCCTGCGAGGTCTCACTATGGCTCATGCAGCACGGATGAGGCTGCATGAGTGAGCCCTACGTGGCTGCCAGCCAGCAAGGCTGATGGCCTCGAGTCCACACTGGCCTCGGGGCCATGCTGACAGGTCCGTGGGCACGGAGGCCCTCCTTCTTCCATGACCTGCTCAGGACTCCTTCACTGTGGGTGCCTGGCAGAAGAGTATGAAAGAATATGGGCATGCTGCCTGCTGCCCTGCCCTGGGCTTACAAGGTCACTGTCGTGCCCACGGTGCTCTGGTGGGAACCCAGCCACGTGATCCCCAGTCCAACTCCATGGCAGAGACCAGGAGGAGCTGGACCCTCTGCTGTGCTGTCCTCACTGTAGGCACCACCCGTAGGCCAAGTGGGGCAAGACATCTTCCTTTTCATCACTGCCTGCCCAGCGAATGTTCTTGCTCCCCTGAGCAGTGCACACCTGGAGACTGTCCTCTGCCCCGCTGCGTCCTGCAGTACTCTGAGCTCTCTCCAGAACAACCTTGTCCTGCTATGGCCCCCATTTAGCTATCCATGGCTCCCAGGGCTGAGCCGCTGGGCTGACTGTGGCACAAGGATGTGGCCGCTGAGCTGGACAGGATTGAGACTGACAGGGCAGAGCTGGGAGAGGGTTGCTCAGGTGCCCACACCCACTTTGCACCTAACTACAGCATTTGCTGTTTTAATTATATCCCACAAAGATGGAAGCTTTGCACAAGGTGGTCCTGCAGCCCTAGATCATCGCCTGCCCTGTAAGTCACCCTGACAGACTCTCTCCCTCCCACAGGCCTGCTCAGGCCTCCTTTGGAGTGCAGCCCTCTAGGTTGATGGTGACCTCCCTTCCACATCTCCCTGACACTCAAGAGAACAGCTTCAGGTCATATGGTCTTCTGTTGCAGTTCTGCCTGCATCGGCCCTGTAAAGGGCTCAGAACCAGGGCTGTTCTGAGTGAGGTGTGGGGGCCGGCGAGCTCCTCCTTCAGGGAAGCGTCACTGATGCAGACCCCTGACCCTGCCTGCTCCTAATGGGCTCTGACACCCTGGGGGCTCCCGTCCCTCTGACATTTATTGGAGCAGCAGAGAGCAGCCAAAGGTGTGTTCATGGAGGACAAGTATAAGTCTGCAAGCCTTTGCCTGGAGCCCAGCCCATGGTCCCCACGTACATCCTCTGGGAGTCCCTGCCCATGGTCCCCACGTACATCCTCTGGGAGGCCCTGCCCATGGTCCCTACGTACATCCTCTGGGAGGCCCTGCCCATGGTCCCCACGTACATCCTCTGGGAGGCCCTGAGCACCAGTGCCCAGAAGGTGGCAGGCTGAGACATACAGGCTGACATCCCTTCCCTCCCAGCAAAAGTAGGGGCCCTTGGCCTTGATCTCTCCACCCTCCAAGGTGCAACACTCTGCTCTGCTGCCAAGTCCTAAGCCCCCTGGACAAGGGCGCTGGATGCAGGCTGAGTGGGAGGGGCTCCTCAGGGGCAACCTGCCAATGCTCACTGGAGCCAGAAGTCCCATCGAGGCACAGACACTTGTACCTCGCCACAAGTGCATGGCCCCAAGGGGGAGGGTTTGAAAAAGGCACCCACCTCTTAGGCCAGACCACCCTAGTCTGGCTGGGGAATGCACATGCTGCCTGGCCTGGGGAATTCAGGTTTTCTGTGTACCTTGCATACTCTGTGTGTCCCAGGTTCCACCTGCCAACGCGGGGGGCCTGAGGCTGGGCTACACTATGTCCTGCTGCCAGGCCCACTCATAAGATTGAGGCCAGAGTCCTCTTCTCCCTCCTGTGAAGAGAAAAAGGGCCTGTCCTCCCCACTGGGGACCCCAGTTGCCTGGGAAACCACAGTCATTTTGCCTTTGCCCCGGTGGGCCACGGCTATGGGACTTGAAGCCATGGCCCCGACGCACCAGACTTCTGCCATCTGTGGCCACCCCAGGAAGCCCAGAAGGAGGGAGCACCATACCTTCTGAGAGCACCAGGCACCCTCAGGGTGACTTGTTCCCTCCCAGCCTCTGCCCCATGACCATGGCTTGCAAAGCATGTGCAGATGCTGGTGTTTACTGGTGAATGGGGCAGACTGAAATTCTAAGACACCAGCACATGGAACCAGGAAGACAGAGCGTCCTGGTACAGCGAGCCACACAGTCCAACTCCTGGCAATGGCTGTTGTCCCAGGAGCTCTGGTCACTGGCTAGGGGGCCCCTTGGAGCACGTTTTCTTCAGGATGCTGAGCTGGACGGCCTGGTGCTGTGAGAGGATGGTGAAGGAGCAGGTGAAGGTCTGGGGAGCAATCAGAGGGGCATAGTGGGTGAGGCACTCTGAACTCAGTGTCTGCCTCTATCTTCTCCCCTGGGATAGTGGTGGAGGAGGGGGCTCAGGGCCTTGGGGAGGCCTAAATTGTGTGAGACCCAGGCTGTGCCCTGACCTGGGGCTTCTCCAGGACCCAGGGAGCCAGGGTCAGCTCCCACACACAGCTGGGGTCTCCAGGGCACCCCAGCTGCCCTGGGATTCACCCCAGATGGCAGGGGTGCTGCATCTCTAGGATCTTGGGGAAGTGTGAAACCACTGGTTGACTCTCTGATAAAGGGGCCTGTTAGCCTAGGTGGGGTGGGGCCCATGTCCAAGCCATCTCCCCCACCCCCTCGCCCTGCACACATAGCAGCTGCAGCTCAGTGGGCTGGGGCTGGGCCTGAGGAAGGTCAAGGGACCCTGCTCAGGCTTCACCAAGGGCTCTGGGGCAGGGGAGGGAGCTGAGAAAGGTACCCTGAGGCAGGGGCCTGGCTTGAGCTCTCCAGGATCCTCTTCTGAGGGCAGGGTACCCGGGTCCAAAACCACACGGAGACATTGCTGCTCCTCCCTGGATACCAGGGAGGCTGCATGTGGTGTGAGTGGAACCAGAGTGAAGGCAGATGGGTGCCCTGGGGTTTGGGCAGGGCAGCCTGGGGAGCCTGCTGTGGACTTAGATCTCGGGTCAGGAGAGTTCTACGGGCAGCTCCTTACGTTGCTGGGCTCCGGACCCTCGTGGAAAGGGCAGATGTTGATGCTTTTCTCAGATTTCCTACACACAGTTCTGCGAAACAACAGCTGCATGGAGAACGCTCTCCCAGGACCCTTGCCCTGGACCAAGAGAAGAAAAGTGGACTTACACAGGCTGGCTGTGCTGCTTTGCTTGTGTAGGGACAGACCAGACTCTGCTCCCTGGAAGCTCCCCAGGGGCCTGGGAGGTGACAGCCAGGAACCTTCTCCAGAAGAGATGAGGGCAGAGGCTAGTGGCCCAGTGACCCTGGGAAGTCACAGTGGAGCCACAGGCTGTGACTGTGTCCCCAGCTTAGGCCCTGCCCAGTCCACCTCAGTAGCACTCAGCCTCCCTCTAACGGTGACAAAAGGGTTCAAGTGCCATACACTGTGCCTAGTAGGGACTGGATAGTTGTGGAGGACTGCAATGAAGACTAAAAACAGCACAAGACAAAAGGAAATACAGACCTGGCCTCTCCCCGCCTGGAACACACAGAGGCCACTATCAAAGTCGAAGCAGCCTTCGGTGAGGGCTCTGCCTGTGCCCTGGACGATCTGCTACTTAGGTGCAGCCTCCTACTCTGTCTCTATCTCTCTTTTCTAACTTTTTATTTTACATACTTCAAGTATTTCTCAATGTTTATTTTTCTCTTTTCTGTATTCTGTGGCTTAATCACTTCGCTGGTTTCTATTTTTGAAGTCACGCTTCAGTTATCAACATCACAAAATCACAAAGATTATAAAATCCATCTTGCGTTTGAGTCGGCATTGACCTAATTTAAAAGAATCTCTGTGTTCATTTTTGTTCCTCTCTCAACCAAATGCTGAGTGAGCCTTTACTTCTCCCAGGCCTGGACTCATGCTGAACCTGGAACAGGGAAGCCCCAGCCCTCACCCAAGCTCCAGGCACAGGCAGCAAGCAGCAGAGGACGTTACCCACCAGTTCCCGCTGGGTGCTGAGGATGCGTTCCAGGCGGTAGGCGCGATTCTCCAGGCTCAGCTGGTTGAATGTGTCCTGTGCCAGCTGTATCGCAGCGGGGAGCTCCGGGTTACTGATGAGCTGATGATAGCTGCTGAGGTCCTCCTCAGAGCACCAGGTGTGGGCCCCCTGGGGCTGGACACACAAGAGCAGCAGTGGCATTGCCCAGGGCAGTGCCCTCCACCCTGGGGGACACAGCATGGTCAGGCACTGGGCTTCCACTTTGTCTTTTACAGGCAACTCTCATGGACCCAGCCCTTAAATTGATCTGTAGGGCCACGAACACCTCCCTGACGCCCTCTGCATCACACTGTGTCCCTTCCCACACCACCTTGCTCTGTCCAGACAAAGCCATTGATCCACTTCCTGTGCAAGAGTGGGCCACGCTGTGGACAACTGGCAGGGACGATGGCCACACCTACCCTTGGAGCGTCTGCGGGCCAAGGAGCCCAGGTGAGCACATCGGAATCAGATGCTGGCACTAGGACCCAAGCGTGAGTGCTGCTGGGGGTCCCTTATGTGACAGCAGAGGGGGACAGGAAGCAGGAAGATGATACAGGCACTGTGGGAGAAGAGAAGGTGTCCTCACTCAAGCCCAGGAGCAGGCAGGTGACCTGAGTTGTCCAGATGGAATGGATGGGGCCACTGCTTCTGGAAGGTGAAGATGCCCTGGGCGCACAGACTGAGTAACTCCGGAGCAAAAGTCCCTAAATCTCAGTTCAGTCTGGGACCCATTAGAGCAGGGGGTAGAGAGGCTACCCCCTCTACCTAGGAGAAGGCTCCTAGGACTCTGTACAGTCCACTCTGCAGTCCCTGCTGCCCTCTTGTGGCCGGCACTGTCACGGGCCTCAGGTACTGCTCGGGGAGCTTTGGCCTCCAGCTCAGTGCACGCTGGTCTGCACAGAGCCACCCCACCTAGGAACCGGGCCTCTGCTGTAGCCCTGGCAAGTTCCTGGCCCTTGCTTGGCTCTGTCCTGCCTTCTGACCCAGCAGGATTGCCAGCCTGGAGTTTGTATTTGCCACCTGCTTCCTGAAATGGCACCACACTTCCTATCCCGGTTCGTAATACATCCCTGGATGTGGAGAAGTCACTGACATGGAGTGCACTGGGGTGGGGTGGGTGTGGCTCCTGGGGAGGGGACATGCAGGGTTGAGAGGGGAAGACACACTGCCTGGTGATGAGGGAAAAGACATTGTTCAGACCATGCATCAATTGCCAGGATAGTGCCTCTGTATGGAGGGGTGTCCTCGAGCTGCTCTCACCTCCTGAGAGGCCCTGGGGGGTGGGGCGCTGGCTCTCCCTGTAGCCCCCTGTCCCAAGGCCACCCACAACTGGACACTGAGCTCTGGTTTCCTGAATCCCAGGAGACCCCAGCCCAGCTCCAGGAGCCAACCACCCCGCCTGCCTCCATAAGTGGTCTCTGTGGGCCTCCAGTCACTCCTTGTTGGTGAGGACTGCGATCAATGGATAAGTCAACATTCCTCCACTGCTTGGGTGGCTCAGGCAAGCAGCCAGCTGTGGGGAAAGTACCTCCCAGAGCCGATTTTTTTTCCCCCATCATCTTTAGGGTCCCTCAAAATCTGCAGCTGAAGCTAAGAACACAGCTCTTGGCTACAGAACTGTGGTGCCAGTTTGGGGCCTGAAAGGGGGTGTTGGCCACTGTGGATGCGAATGTGGCATTCTTGGTGCAGCAGCCTGAGGAATCCTATGCGAACAGATCCCTGTCGCACCCAGATGGATTGGGGTGTCTGTGAGATTACATCACCAGTGCCAGCAGTGGGGTTGGAGCAGACCTCGCTTAGGAGGCAGATGTCATGGTGCTCAGGGCAGGTCCAGATCTGTCCCTACCATGCAGTCAGGAAATGAGGTCACCATGCCCAGATGGGGCCTGCGTTGTGCGGGCACTGCTGACTGCTTGTGTGTCCAGACTCTTGCCCAGAAGCCCAGGGAGGGCAAGATTGCATCTTGGGACCTGAGCCTCACAGGATGAAGGAATGCAGGCCGGAACACCAGGGCCTGAGGACACAGCACAAACATTGCAAAAGGCATAGCCCCAGCCCCTGCTTGGCTTCCCTCCATCTGGTGACCTTCCTGCTTCATCTCCACAGACTCCCACGCAGCCACCAGTGTCCAGGCCACATTAACTGCTCCTAGAAATGGACCCGATTCCTGGAACCACGACTCTGCATTCCCGGAAGCACAAACCGTCAGACGAGGTCAGCAATCACCAGGCCAAAGCCATATTCCCCAGCTGTCAAGCTAAAAGTGCTGTCATCCCATGGTACTGTGAAGGACTGGCCTCCCTGGGCTGCCCCAGCCGCCATCCTCCTGCTGCCCCTCCATTGTGTCCAGCCCTGGGCATAGGGCCTGTAGGTCACCTCGAGGCCTCCTGGGTTTTTGGATGGAGTGGAGAGTAGGCTGCTTTCTGGTACAAACATGTGTCTGCGACCCCTGTCACTGTTAGCTTGGCTTCTTCACCTCCAGACCCTCACTCCCCAACACTTGCCCAGCACAGTCTACTGATCCTCTAGTGGTGCTCCCCCACCCCATTTCCTTTCTTGTTTGCAAAGCTTTTAAAATATTTTAAATAAAAAAGTGCAAAAGTTCTGCACTATCACCTACCCTAGGTGAAATGCGGTTTTAACATGACAAGAAATGCAAATGGCAGGCACCTTGGCGAGTGAGTTTTCTTCTCTTAGGATGTGGATGAGAGCTGGCACCAGCCAAGCCCTACCCGTGCTGTCCTGGCTCAGGCGTGCAGCAGCTCCGGAGCCTCTGGGGGACTGCCAGCTGAAGGACGGCCAGCTGGCACCCTGCCCCAAATACCTGGTGCCTGACACCTCCTGAGCGAGGACCTGGTGCCACAGGAGGAAGAGTCTGCCTCTGTCCTTGTCCTCATTGCAGCCACAGTCCCAGTGCAGCTGTGCTGAGGAATTAGGTAAAACAAGAGCAGGGTGTGTGTGTGGGGGGGAATGTGACACACATGGGCTTTGTATTTAGACTCAGTCCCACCCTAGAGAAGTTCATTGTGCACATGCAAATACCCAACCACCCCCCAGAAATCCCTAATCCAACACTTTTGCTCCCAAGCATTTTGGATGAGGATACCCAATCTATGTGTCATTTTGTTTTATGCTTTGAAGGTTTTGCACACAGTGTTCTTACTGTGTTTTTCATAGCTTGACGCTTGTCCTGGAGTTGTGACTGGGAATCCAAGGTGGTGCTCAAAGATCCAGCTCCTTAGTAGCACTGGTCATCTCTGCTCTGTACCCCGTCGCCCTATAAGGTAGGCTAGCTAGCTCTTTCCTGATTCTACAAGGAATCTGCTCTGCTCTTTTGCTCCCCAAGAGTACAAGGAGTACCTTTGCCTGGGTTCTGTATGGATGTGTATGGTGTTTCTCTAGGGCAGGGCCCAGAAAGAAAAATTACTAGGAGGTGGGCTGTAGTCCCTAATTCAGCTTTATCAGATCACTGTGCTGAGGATTAGTTTTTACTACCCAGACTAAAAACCAAATAAAGACTATTACTTTTTACTGTTGCTTATTAGGCAAAGTCTTTCCCCCATTTTCCTGTATTTTCTTCTAATTGCGTTATTTTCTTCTGCTCTTCACACTGATGTGTGTGATCCAGTGGGGGTGGGGAGCTATGTGGGTGGGTGGTGTGAGGGATCTGTCCCTAATGGAGTGTGGGCGGGCTTGGCTGGCTTTTCTGATGCTGCTTTGAAACAGTGTAGTTTTTGCCCTGTGATTTTGCTATGGTTTGAGATAGTTTGTCCTCTCTGAAGTTCATGCCAACACTGAACCCCCTTTTGAGATATGAGGAACGAGTAGGACTTTTAAAATGTGCTAAGGATCTTGGGAATGGATTAATCCACTCACATGATTAATGAGCTTATGGGTAATTTCCACAGGGTCTGCGAGACAAGCTGGTTCAGCTAGGCCTCTCCCTCATTGCCTGTCTCTTACCAAGCGAGGCACTGGGTCAGCACCAGATGTGGGCCTTCAATCTTGGGCCAGAATGATGAGCTAAAATGAATCTCTTTTCTTCATAACTCCCCCCAGTCTGTGGTATTGCACACCGATTACTAGAACAGAGTTGGGGAAAGGCTCCAACAGCATTTCAATCACCCCAGTTTCCAAACACATGTTGGTTGCTTCACTGCAGGGCAACACTAAGAAAGCTTTTGTTGGATCTTGGCCAGGAAAGGGAGAGGCACACTTGGGCTCATCTCAGGCCTGGGCACCTGTGCTCAGCTCTGGCTGCTAGGCAGGCTTGCTCCCCAACTCCCCAGCCTGTGGGCCATGCATGTGGCTGCTGGTGCTCTGTGGCCTGGGCTCTGGTGCTCTGTGGCCTGGACTCTGGGCACACTGTCTAGGTCTGGGTCTCAGCTCTGAGGAAGAGCTCTCTGCATCTGTCATCCCTATCAACACCATTAATTTGTCTCAAGTGCCTAGTGCTGCAGGCTCTACCTCAGTCCTCCCGTATCAGACACAGTGGTTTAGACTATTTCCTATGGCTGCAACAAAACACCTGGGGCCGAGAAAACTGTGAAGGAAGGAAGTTTATTTCCCCCTTAGCTCTGCGGGTCGGGAGCAGGGTCTGTGGCAGAACTGTCTGTCCCATGGCAATAGAAACAGGAAGGCAGAGCTCTGTGACACCATCTCAGTCTCTAACCCACTCTCACCAGAATGACAGGAACCATTTCAGAAGACTGGACCTCCCCAAAAGCCAGCGACCTCCTGAAGAGCCCACCTCCCACCTGCATTAAAGATCACATCTCAACATAAGTTCTTTTGTTTTTCCTTTCTTTCTTTTTTAGGGAGAAACAAACACTGAAACCGCAGTACATGAGATGTATTCTTTTATCCTCTTATGGATGTTTTGGTTTTATTTATTTATTTATTTTAAAAAATTATAAGATCTTGCTATGGAGTCCAAGCTGGTCATAACTCGTGACAATCCTCCTACCTCAGCCTCCCCAGGGCCGGGATTACAGATTTGTGCCACCATGCTTGGCTTTTGTTCTGTTTTTATTCTTTAAGGAGCTGTCTTCCTCGACACTGGCATTATCTTTTTGAGTTGAGACAAGCAAGCACTTGCCTTGGAGTCTGGGTGGAGTTAGGTTCTCGTTGCTGAGAGGAGCTGCTCAGAAATAAATGAGATGCGTTATGTAAGCAGTAAGGGGTACTCATCAGAACTGAACACTGTAAGAGTGCCAGTGTGTTTAGGATGCAGCTGATCATGGAGGAAGTTCCCTTGTGCAGGTGCTAGTGCACCAGGCAGTGTCCCGAGCCCTGGAGCTGCAGTCAGGGCCATGGGGATTGAAGGCAGAGGTTTCTGGGGGCTCCGCTGCCATTCATAGGTCCCTGGGGGCAGTACAGATGCAGCTACATGAATAGAACTGCCAGCTGTCACTTGGCTGTGAGTTTAGACTTCTGGTTGGATTGAGGCTGAGATCAGAGCTCAAGAAAACCTATTCTGGGTAATTAAGCACAATGGCTGTTATGGCATGGGTCTAGAAAGTCCCAGATTCCTGTGGACTGCAGTGACTGGCTGTTCGGAGCTAGGGCCTGGAGGTAGAAGCAGTCACGGGAGTGTCATCTGGAGGGTCTGCTCTGCTCCCCACTCTCTCTACAACCAGCTGCCTGGAGTAGGGAGAAGCAGCTCTGCTCTGCTGGGCCCTTCCTGCCTGGGAGCTGGCAACCTGCCCCAGACTGAAAACAGGAGCCAAGATAAGCCTCTCCTC